AGGCCTCTCAAACAAAAAACAATGTGTAGTTTGGTCCTTAAGATTTCATTTGATTTTCAATTTTTAGTAGGTTAACCAATGATTTTTTTAATTATCCGCCCAAAACAAACTCACCCCCCCAAAAAGTGAATGTTGCCAAGCCCTCCCAGCGGCCATTTTTTAAACAACATCCCTCACCTTTTTGGGGCTCTTCTGACTAATTTTCAATCCCATTTTTGTCTGCTTTGCCCCCGGATGGGTGCCCCTGAATCTACAGAGATAATCCTGGGCTATACTGACACAATTCCACCATTTCTTGGCCCAAACAGACCCCTCTTTTTGAAACAATCTCTGGGGGGTACTTTTTCTGCGCCTCTGTCTGGCAGAGAATTTTCCTTGAATTTGGAACACTGCACCCTCCAGGTGGTGTCGCGTAGTGATGACGACGAGGATATATAGAGGGCGCTACTTTCAGAACCGGCAAACACAACTCACACTACCGCAACTGGGCAATTTCGCAAGCTATCTGGGAAAAAAGGTCGGTAACATTAATTTTGTCTTTCAAAAGACTGCCTTGAATTGGTTAGTGTTCATGTTAACTGAATAAATTTCAGATGTTTCTGGATGAACATCTTTCCATGAAAGCAAGTTTTGCGCCGCCAGGAGCCTCGGACGACTGACGATTAAAATTTTAAAAAAAAGCCAAGTTACATACATGTAGGCGCAGGCCTACCCGGAAACAACTGTCGAATTCATGACTAGTCCAGGCTGACAGCTTTTGGTGTCACTCACAGCGGACGAAGAGTGAAATACAATTGACAAACCTGATTAACAATTGAAATAACAAATTTCGTCAGCTTGGCAGTGAGTGGCTTGCTTGAGTATGACGATGATTTGGACAATATCCAATGTCAAATTTCGCAACTCTTTGGCCTGTCACTGTGGTATGGGGTTCTTTGCCGTAGACTTGGTACTACAACACTGCTAAGTACTACTAGATCATTGGATGCCAGACGCAAAGTAAGTTAGCATAGGAAATTTACCAGTTTGGGAAGAGCTAGTCTGAGCAAATGTTTAAATGGTAACAGGAAAGAGTTCCACATCACCAGACACCCTGTGCTGTGTGCACAACCCCTATCAATCATGCCCATGAGACTGGTCTGGGGTCCGTCATCCGCCACGGGGGTTTGTGGGAGTGTGGTGGACGACAAACTCCACAGTTTTAGGGGTATTTTATTAGTAAATGTTTCAACATTTTCACTGCTAAATTTGACTTTTTAGCACATGTTATCATGTTTTGATGGCAACTCAACTACTGCAAGGGAAAATTAATGATGTGCGTGTAAGGAACTTTTACCAATAAAAAGGATGATTTGTCAGTTAATTGGGTCCTAATCTGCCAGTGGTGCCAGAAATAGGACTTTACAAAGCACCTCTTTTAACATTTGGACATGATCAGCAACAGTGGATTCCAAGAACCTGCTGTGCATTAACCGTAAGTTAAAGTCGCCGTCCTTCATCTTGTGCAGTTCAAACTGTATGACAATGGCAGGGAAATCCACAACGTCATGAAGTGCTGGCAGAGCCGACCATTCATAATTGAGCCAAGGAGTGTGCAGACGTATTCTGACAACTTTTTCCTGAGCAGCGTAATGTGTGGTAGCTGTGGATATATCGAGTTGAACACTGGACATTACGTTGGGCTGTTCAGAAAACAGTTGTTGGCCTGTGCGTGGTCACATTTGGCCCCTTTCGTGTAGAAATTAGGGATGAAAAAATCTGGTGATAGCCATGACAGTCCTTCGTCAATGTTTGTAGTTGTGATCATATCCATTGAGCGCCATCCTCCAGGAATTGGAGGCCCCCAATTGCCCCACCCCTGCTAAATTTCTCCAGTTGTCCTTTAAACCAGCTCAGATGTTGGGCAGGGTCGCCGATCTTTGCGGGTTCGCTCGATCTCACTGCTCAATTAGTAGGTAATTCTACCGTCCTTCAATTGTCTTTTCTTTCCAACTAACTGTTGTTAAAGATTATTTCATAAAATGGAAACAAAGTTGGAAATTTCATGCAGAATCAACAAATTGCACAGAACAATCGCACGATTGTGCAGACCAGCTGACTGCACCCAACACAGATAATTTTTTGGCCAACAGGGCCACTGAACGTGTCATGTTGCAGTGACATTCTCGTCAGGGGACTTAAGTTCTGAATGTACATTGTACTTGACCCATTGAAACTACCCTGGAACTATGAGATTTGTCGTTCTTAGAGGCTGAACAATGTGCCCCATAGTTCTAAAGATATCACCAAAATAATGTTGTGTGGTTCTTAAGTCTTTTTTCCCTCTTTCTTCATTCCTAAATTTGTGTTTTTATTCATTTATTTATTTTTTCAACACGCATGTTTACCGGTATTCGCAAGGACCTGAAGATTGGCGGTCACATTAAATTGAGTCGAGATAAAACTTATAAGAATCTCCCACAAATTGCTTTGGATTATTGTCTCAGTGGGTGAAATTAGTGTACGTTGTTTCTCCTTTACCCTGCAGGTAATGCCTTTGTCGTCGTCATTTGACCGTCAAGAACACAGGATTACTGGCACAGGTGGTTCTCTAAATCTCATACGATTGTATAAGACAGGCCATCACTGTGAGTGCTGAACTATGACCCTGTCAATGGTGCCCTCAAACAGCGGTAGATGCCATCAAAATAGCTACACAGTGTACATGTACTTGCCCAGCGAGGAAACGATCTGACAGCAACGAAACGATCACCAAAGATATCAGTCGGTACTTCCACAAGGCAGAAATTTTTTCTCTTACCCCAGAAAGTAAGACGGGTTTACGTTGTTACACGTGCACAAGGAAAGAAAAATGTTACACTGTGAAGCGTTGTCCGTGTGCGGCTAAAGTGTGCATCTTTGATGAACTTCCCGATCAGCCTTAAGTAGAATATTCCTGAGGTAGGTAAATATTTGTGCAGGCTGCAGCATCGGGCACAGTGACAGCAGATTGGAAGTGAACTGGCTGTCAACCAAGATGGCAGATCTGGCGACAATCTTCAACGCGTGGTGGACGCTACTGCTGTTGCACGTTTGTAGTCTGTCTGTGATCACCCACAGCGAATTGTTGCGGCTGCCGCTGCACACTGCCGTGCATCGGGTCAACTACCCGGTCGAGGCAGCCGAGAGGTCACACAGTGTCTTCAGACGATCGACGCCCAGAGATAATCTAGGCGGGAAACCGGGCTTGGGATTCTATGTGGAGATCGAACTTGGCACCCCCAAGCAAAAGGTCAGTGCTGTGCCATTTAAGACAAGTTCAGTCATCAATCTTTTCGTAACCTAGTACCCAGGATAGATTTTAGGCATGGTCTCAACCAGACAAAATTAAGCAGTGGTCTGACAAACGTTGGCCCACAATGGCCCAGCTTTCTGGGAAGGCACTGCCCAGCTAACTGGAAAGGTTTAGGATAAAGAATATATGCCATTGGTTTCCTTGTGTGGTAGATTTCAGAATTTCTAGATGGTCTGTCTTGTAAAGAGATACAGCCTTATGTACATGTACATGACCGCTGTGGTAGTGCTTAAGTTGTCATTCTTAAATTTAACCCTAACCATCCCCAACCACACAGAATTAAACAGTAGTAAAGTGTTTAATTCTGTGGGGATAGGTCTGGTAGGCCAAGACAGCTGGCTTTTGCATTGGGTTTGGCATACGTCAGAAAAACAAAGTCCAACAGCCTCTGTGCACAAAGTCCCATATGGGTGTTTGTGTGGATGGGGAAGGTTAGGGCCAGCAACCCTTGGGCAGTTAGGGTTAAGGCATTTTTAGATATTTAAGAAGCATTTACATATATGTAAACACATGTAAATATATGTAAATATGGTGCGCTTACAACCTGCATGCGAGTGTGGTGCCCTGGCTTCTAATGGGCAATTCACAATGTGGTGCTCCACCAAAAGATTGTCACAGAGACGCCATGTGTCAAGTTTACAGTCAACATGCACACCGTGGAATAAGGCCTTGCGCGAGTTCAATTTAAATAAAATGTGGTACACTGAGTTGTTTAAATTCATATGAACATAACAATTTGAATTCTCCATACTACAGATACTGTTGCTATACCTTGTGATTCGGGGCAAGCTTTGCTTTGTTGCATGAGACACGCCTTGCACCAATTCACTGTTTCCAATGGATAAGAAGGGCACAAAGGAACCAGTCCATTCTAGAGATGGTGGTCGCTATGCAAAAGCTTGCCCCGATTCACAAGTCATAGCAACAGTGTCTTTAGTCTGGGGATTGCAATTGTCATGTTTATGTGAAATCAGATCACTCAGTGTACCAGATTTGATTCAAATTTAACTCACAAAAGGCTTATTGTGATTTTCATCAGAATAGAAAAATTATTCTTGGCAAAAGAATTGGAAAATAGATCCAGGTTGTACCGGTACATGTACTGTTCTGCTATTTTCAGTTGGGAAACGGGTGTCAGAAATACACGTGCATACATGCACATGTATGTACATGTACATATATGTTAAAGTCTTCATTGTTTATTGTGACAGCATATTTTCTTGTACATGTAATTCAGAGCTGTCGATCTGAAGGCAGTGGCATGATCTAACCATTACATTACATGCATTGACTTGGGTGTTGTTGCACACACTGGGCTGCTCCATGTATCACATGTACATGTATCAGGGTTTCCCCCTGGGGTACTGATATCTGGGAGGTGGTCAAATAAATTTTGCCAAAATTCAAGTGCCTAAACCAAAAGGGAGTGTTTACAAAAAGACCTAAAATAAATCCTATATGTATATATTATCAGTATGTTTACTCCGAATTTCCCCTGTAAAATAAATCAGTCTTATATTCTGTGTCTCTCTTTACCATTCTGAACAATTTGAATCTGATCTTTTTCAAAATATCTAAGTTATAATTCTTCTTCCTTCCATCTTTGTCTGCTTTTAGTGTGAGGTGGTAATATTCAACAAAAAACCCCGAGGTGGTCACTAAAATCAGTGAGGTGGGCTGCCTCAGACTTGAATAGGCAGGGGAAACCCTGCCCTGTACATGTACACGTACATTATAATGTGCTTGACTGTGGAAGGAAAGTGTGCTGGAGATATGCATGCTGTGAAAACACATGAATCAGGCTCTCTCCCCTTGAGGTTTCCAGAGGCTATATATGCTCATTACAGCATGAGATCTCATGTGAAAAGAAATTGTACTGTGGGATTTGAACCCACACCTTCCTAGGGGGGTGTGTTTACGGGGGAATTTTTGGATCCGGGTACCCGTTTTATGACAATACTGGGTACCCAGGTACTCCTAAGATATAAAGAACACTTAACAAATGGCATTGGGCACAATGCCGGCAGACCATGTGCCCAAAACGGCCTTGTTTTTCGTACAAACATAAATGTATAGGAAGCAACACATTGTTCTAAATGTCTGAGGGGAATCTCCCCCACTGGTTTATTAATACAAAGTGTTACCTTGAATTTGTAACAAAAATAGCTCCGTTGTTCTCTGAATTGGAGTTACATGTATTACCATGGCACCTGATTTTTCAGCAGCACAATGATTTTTCAACAATTTTACCCTTCACCATTAAAGTTTACATACATTTCACACATGGAATTTTTTTTTACGGGTACCTGGCCTGAAAAAAATGAAACTGGGGTTTTGATACTGACGGGCGTGTACCCGGTTACCGGGCACTGGCCCACTTTCTTCTCACTTTCAATGCAACTGTTTGACCTCTGCAACATGGCCCTTCTAGTTCCAATCTGATATCACATACATGTAGTGACCACTTCAAATTACGAAAACGCTTCATTGGTTCATTATGCCGGTTACTTTTTTGGCCGTTCATTTAGCCCTCAAACCTCAACAGATTTTCCATGACTTGTTAAGTTTTCTGAAACAGCACTTCAAAAAAAATAATCACCCTGCATGAAAAACATATTGGTTGAAATAGTACCTGACTTGCAAAAGCAAAAGACTCAACACGTCAGGGCAGTACTCAAGCGTAGTCGTTATTTCAATACAGACAACACATGGACTCATACATGTAGGCAAACACATGCAAGCACGATTCTTTCCCACACTTTCAGTGTGCACACCTCCTAATGTAGCCAGCATAATCTTTACAACACATTATTCTGGCTCGATTGATTAGGATCGTGCCAGAGCCGTTGACAAAATGGCAAAAGGTGATTAATTGTGGGAGTTAATGTTGCTTGGTGACTCCTTGACGATCAGTTGCCCAGCAACAAATTTGCTATTGGATGTGCGCACCACTGCTTAAGCATGAAATTTGTATCACACATCACTGTAATTGAACCTGCAAATGCATAGGGTTTGTGTTCGTACATGTACCAGCAAAAAATATTGTCTGACTTGGTTGACCTGTTTTTCAAAAACGTACATGTACACAAACGTATGTTCATGTCCGGTACATTGTATGAGTGATAATACATATGCAAGTGTAGCGATAGGATCCTATCGCTCACATTCAATACATACAGTACATTGCATTCATGTAAATGTATGTGTACCATTTTGCAGACTGACAATTAGAAATACATGTACATGTACGTGTGCGTACAATGTACATGTATGCATTACAGAAAATAATTGCATTGCAAAATTCAGTAGAAAATGATTAAACATTGTGTACATTGTATAACATGTAACATTTTGTATTGGTACTGGTATCTGGTAACACACTGCATAGTAAAATTAAATTTGTTAAAATATGTACATTTTACATGACAGCTCCATACAAAGGTATTAGCATCAAAAGCGGAGAAGTCAGTTCATCAGGTTCACAAGGAAGTAATGTACAGTATGTGTATTGTGGATAGTTGCCATGCCACGAACTGACGTATCGTGCGTACATAGTCTGTGGACGGTACGTCACTTCATGGGCAGTGTTGTCATTGAGCCCATGAAAAGTCCCTGCAAGTCCCTGTAAGTCCACCACAAGTCCCTGCAAGTCCCTGTAAGTCCACCACAAGTCCATCAAAAGTCCCTGCAAGTCCCTTTAAGTCCACCACAAGTCCATCACAAGTCCCTGTAAGTCCATCACAAGTCCATCACAAGTCCCTGTAAGTCCACCACAAGTCCCTGTAAGTGCACCACAAGTCCATCAAAAGTCCCTGCAAGTCCCTGTACAGTGTATGTCCACCACAAGTCCATCACAAGTCCCTGTAAGTCCACCACAAGTCCATCACAAGTCCCTGCAAGTCCCTGTAAGTCCACCACAAGTCCATCACAAGTCATTCAGTCTTAAGGCAATTTATACCTGGTACGCTATTCCAATTAGCTGTGACAAAAGCATTCTTTTGTTATTGTTCACCCTCATGCCTAAGACTAGCCTTGTGAAAGGACTTGTGACTGGACTTGTGACTGGACTTGTGAAAGGACTTGTGACTGGACTTGTGACTGGACTTGTGAAAGGACTTGTGACTGGACTTGTGAAAGGACTTGTGACTGGCCTTGTGAAAGGACTTGTGACTGGACTTGTGACGGACTCCAATACAACGCTGTTTCACAACCGGTTTCAGAATCCTTCCCTCTTTGTGTAACCGACACGTCTTTGTACCACAACCCCAGATGATGAAACCTTTCAGGATGTGTTCCGAGATTTCACCAACCTGGCTTCCAACAACCCCGAAGCGCTCAATCGCAACTTCCAAGAGCCGGACAAGCCCCCGACACCTGAGAGGACTGGGGGCAACTCTAACAGTAGCTCGTAGTTCACTGACCCCTTCACTGCAAGTGCAATAATATATCCCATCCACTGGGTCATCTCTATCAGCGGCTATTATCCAGGATATTTATAACCTTCTCTTGTAGGTCCACCTGAGAGAACTANTGTGAAAGGACTTGTGAAGGGACTTGTGACTGGACTTGTGACTGGACTTGTGACTGGACTTGTGACTGGACTTGTGAAGGGACTTGTGACTGGACTTGTGACAGGACTTGTGACAGGACTTGTGACTGGACTTGTGACAGGACTTGTGACAGGACTTGTGACTGGACTTGTGAAAGGACTTGTGACTGGACTTGTGAAGGGACTTGTGATGGAATACAACACCGCTTCGTGGTGAACCTGATGAGTTTATTCACCAGCTGTAATCAAATAAAAACCTGTTAAGGGAATCCTTGTGCTTGAGTTTGCCCTGGTCCCACTGTGGTGGAGCTGGCAATTACCAAGAAATTTACGTGCCGAGCAAATGGAAACCATGCTTAACAAATTTCACTTTGGCCAGTAACCTGACTAAGGCAAGCCTCATCACGCCCTGCTGGCACAGTTTCAGAGATTTCCGTGGCTGCTGTGGAATGTGACATTTTTCCTCCTTCCTGTGCTCTGATGGCCAGGTTCCCAAGTACGCAGAAAGGCCAAATACGATTCACGTACATGTACCTCTGTATACAAAGTTCAGTGGTGAATTTGAGCCGGGATGGGTTTCTTCCTGAAATGATATCACGCTTGTGCACACGAATGCAAACCTGCGTTAGCATAAATCCACCAAATGGCCAAATTATGAAGTTTGAAACTGAAGAAATAATGAGACGAACAGGCACATCTACAGTGTACATGTAAACTTCACTGCATCAGCCTTTTAGGCTTTATTTTTCTTTTACCGTGTTTACCGTATGGAATGCCATGTACGCTGTATATGTCTGAAAATTTAAGGCAGTATAAAAAAACACTCTTCCTTTATGCATACGTCACGGCTCAATAAATAAATTTATTCATCATTGTACAATTTTTTTGTCAGCAGAAATTCTGAGACTTGGCCATTAAAATACCTGTAGATACTTACATGTACGGGGTAAATCAGCTCTCTGGAACGTCATGCATGGCAAAATGGACCTTTGGTTATTTTGAATGTTTGTAACCTGTGTGGAACATATGATACTTACATGTACATGTAGCATTGCTTGATTAGCTAATGATGGTGCTTTTTTCCCCTTTCAGCTGAATGTCTTAGTGGACACCGGCAGCAGTAACTTTGCAGTAGCTGCTTCACCCAATAGATTGATCACCAGATATTTCCATAAAGACAAGTAAGTGCATGTATGTACATATTACCGGTATCTTCCTTATTCAACAGCTTGGTAGTAATGCACTTCTTCTTGGCTGGGGTGTTGATTTGTTGGTTAGGGTTGACTGTAAGGGTTACTCCCTTGGTGCGTTGCTCTCTCAGTTGCATTTTCCCCCTTCTGATTGATCAAAGAACACTCTTGTCAGTGAGGTACATGTATACTGATAATGCAAGAGCACAAATCAGCTAAAAATCTGACAAATTCTATGGACTCAAATCTTGCCACAGGATGTAGGGAGAACGCACAAAAAAGATGAAATTACAACTTGCTAGAAGTATTGATGTTGTGACAGCTAGGGAGGATTTTTTGTGGAAATCAATATATATGCATCCACTGCAACCACCCCAGTGATCGTGTGTGTGTTAATATTTGTTAACTGTATCTTACTTAAACTTTAAAAGAATAATAAAGCAGTTATAAAGATGAGAACCTACGGTAGCTTCAGAACAAGTAAGTTCTTAGTAGATTTTTATAGGAGTTTTGTGGAACTAGCACAAATGCAGTAAAACGTTGATCAGTTGCCTAGCTGAAATTAGGAAACCTTCACTAGGCGGCACAAGGATAAGCCTTTTGTCCATCTATGAATTTGTTGACTTTTTTTTCAGATCGTCAACTTACCGAGACCTCAAGAGGAAGGTTCATGTTCCCTACACCCAGGGGGAGTGGAACGGGGAACTGGGCCAAGACGTGGCCGCGATACCCACCTCTCACCCGAACATGTCCATCACGGTGAACGTGGTCAGCATCACATACTCGGAGGAGTTCTTCCTGAACGAATCCAACTGGCAAGGGATTCTGGGACTGGGCTATGCGGATATTGCACGGGTAAGCGCCGTGCGGGTACATTTACATGTACACCTCAAACTTTCTTCTTGTGCACTTGAACCAACACTCTTCTGCTTACTAATGTCGATATAGTGCCGCTTCACCTTTCTGGACTCTGCTAGTTAGTTTGAATAATGACTCGGTATACATGTATTTCTTTTGTGTCAGAGATACATGTACGTGAAATCCGAATGTTGAGTTGTGTGAGTTCCAATTCTTGCCATGTCCAAGTCATCAAGAGTTTATTATTATTTTTCTTTACTCTCAGCCCGACAATACAGTGGAGCCTTTCTTTGACTCCCTGGTGGATCAGTCAGACGTGCCGGACGTTTTCACTCTTCAGCTCTGTGGTGTGCTAGAAAACAGGGCGGAGACTGGAAAAACCGAAGTGACCGGCACCATGGTAAGAAATGCAATTTCAGTTCGGGGAGGATGGAAGTTCAGCTTTTTTTTTTCCTTTTACCTTGTCAGCATTTTGACAATTTGTTTCAGTGGGTAAATTCCACAATCAGGCAAGTTTCTCGTCATGGCTTCTTTCTATTTGTTACTACCATCGTGCCCTTTTGTCTCTTTGCACAAACATTACTGATATTTTGCAGCCAGGCTCCATCCTTGTGCAAAATGTTCAGATACCAGAATTGTCAAAATGCCATACATAAGCAGCAATAATGTATATTACAAATGCAGAGAGCACCTCATTACTAAACAGTGATAACCTTTACTGACTTTGTGATAACCATTAGATTATTTGATCGTGCCTCATTTGTAACCCACTCTGTGAAAATGAGTCTTAAGTTGCCAAAGTTACTTTGGAGAAAAAAGTCCTTCAGAATAATTCGCACAGAGTCNATAGGAACCCACAGCATTTTTCACCATGGAGTATCCACTTTCATCAGGATGCTAAACTGAGTGATACTTCAAAACAAAAAGCTCAATTTGCTCTTTCCAATACAAATGAAAACACAAAAAGTGGCTCTGGCGACTTATGACTCATTTTCACGGAGTGGGCCTCATTTGTTATCCGTGATATTGCAATGGACGGAAGTATACATGTAATAGGGGGATGCCTTCCAATAAAAAGAGGAATGGATGTCTTTCCTCCCCTCTCAAAGAGAAGACGGTATCCAAGGTTACAAGGCGTAGAGCTGGCCGCATTCACGGCATACCCAGTCGCAGCCACCACAGTCTGAACTTATTTCGATAAAAGTGAGGGCTTTTGTCAGTCAACTCCTAAACTGAAGTTTTATTCTAAAAAAAAACGGAAGATAAGTTTCAATCCCTTAATGGCAGTGCTCCAGGATGTAAACGAGGAATGTTCATTTTTTTTGGGCGGGGGACAGACAATTGGAGGAGTGGACAGAGGGCTTTATACAGGCACCGTGTGGTACACGCCCATCCGCAAAGATTGGTACTACGAGGTCATTATACTGGACATTGAGGTGGAGAACCGGTCACTAGGCTTGGACTGTAAAGAGGTAAGTGACCATTCTGAGAAACCCTTCCTTGGGGATTAGCCATCTTTACTCTCAAATGGATAGTGAGAAAGTTTCTGGGACCACGGTTGAGCACCAGCGTCTTCCACTTTTCTGTGGTTGTTGCTCCAACGATGTGCTCTGCAAGGTTTATATTTACATGAATGTGGTTTAGGGCAGTAACTAATGCTTACTCGTCATAAAGAAACAATCTTCTTTCTTTGAATATGCTTTACTTACATGTAAATTAAGAAGACTTTGTTGGACCAGCAGTCCATTTCGAGATGTTTTTTTAAATGTGAGCATATGGTCCAGTGCCCTAACTCCGACTTTTTCTTCCTAATTTCTTGTCTGAAGTGAAGATCAGTTTTCAGCCTTTAGCAACTGTTCTTTGGATACCCTCCTCTGCTATATTTCCTCAGAATATTTATTCAAGAAATGTATTTTCCTACAGTACAATTTTGACAAAACCATTGTGGACAGTGGTACAACCAACCTCAGATTACCCAACCGAGTTTTCAAGGAGGTGACGAAACTCATCAACGCCACAGTTGTTGAGGTGAGAGTGCAGACCCAGACACACACAAAAATGGCAGATTTCGTATGCCTTTGACAAGTTTATGATTGTGAAGAAAATTTGTTGCATTGAAGTGAGTGCATTTGCAATTCTCGAGACTTCCCCTCCGTGTTAGCCTATGCTGGGCAGTTTATTCACCACTGTGGATGGTTTTTTTTGTTAGAAAATTTCAACTTCTGAAAAAAGTATAATATAGTGGCTTTGCATGGTAGCTGTGTTGCTGCTTTTGTTCCACAGGAAGCCTCTGTTATGCATATGCTGTGGAACAAAAGCACTGACCTGCAAGATGGCAGCTGTGCAAACCCTCTATAGCAGCCATCTTTTGATGTAAAGCCGAATGCCACAGACACTGACTAACTAGTCTTTTGGACAACATTTGGCAGGAAAGCTTTAACTGCAGCCTTTCACGTTTTACACTCTGCCCAAGGAGCAGCACCATATTTGCTACTTCAGTAGGGCCCATACAGTGGCCAAGTTCAAGTTTAGCACCGAGTTTTGCCCTCAAAGATTTTTTTAAAACTTTTTTGTGCATGTACAAGGTAACTGGAGGATTAATGTCAGCCAGGAAATGAGTCGCGCCACACTCGGTGGTTTAACCTGTCAGCCGTACCTGTGTATACAGATGACATTATTTTGCTTACACATCCTCCGGTGCTAACTGGTTAATGACAGTTTTGGGCATTTGTTTTGAAGATATCAAAACAGAAAATTTAACGAGGATGATGATTTTTTTCCCTCTGGATAGAACTTGGGACTGTCGGTGCCGGACATGTTTTGGGAAGGCACCGATCTGATATGCCAGAAGGGTCCTATTGATCCATGGGTCTGGTTCCCTAGTCTGTCCATCCTTCTCAACAGCACGGAACCAGGCACTGGATTCAAGTTGAGGGTATCAGCTAAGGTAAGTATTCCTAAGTTTACTTGACACAGTCGTTTTGAAAATCACAAAAACTTAAGATTATTTGGCATTCTCCGAATGTACAAGTCAGCCAGGTAGTCCTCCTTCAAAACCAATGATCCAAAGCCTCCCAGATCCTTCTAAATCCACCAGAAGGTGTGGGATGATGGTAGAATCCATCCACTTTAACTCTACATCGGGCATGATGGCTCTTCAAAATTTAAAAGTGCAAAGACTGTGCCATTTGTGCAGTTAGGTGGATTTTGAAGGATGTGGGAAGGCTTCTAACAAATACATGTGCGCCTTTGGAGTGACCGTTAAACATCGGTGTTCCATTCCATTGCTCTTGGCATGTTTGACAATTGCCAAATTGTTGGGCATTTTGCTGTATCTGCCGTTCAAGACAACCAGCAATTTCCTTTGTTTACAAACAGCAATATCTACGGCATGTAGACACCGACAATAAGGATGACACCTGCTACAAGTTTGGGATCTCCTCATCAGATTCAGGTAGTGACAGACCTATCTTTTTTTACCCTGAAGCAGCTGTTAACATGATCATGGTTATGTAAACAGTACTAACGAAGGGTCGGCAGTACTTGCAAACTCACATGCATTATCCTCAAAGTGTCTGCATATTTTGGAGAAACTTTGCTGTAACTTGTCTTACTTGTGAGTTCCCGTAAAACCTATCCAGTGTTTAACTTCCTGGTGTTGCTAAATCTGCTGTGTATATGTTTCGTTTAGGAAGTGTAATTGGAGCTGTGGTCATGGAAGGCTTCTATGTGGTGTTCGATCGGGAGAATCAAACCGTAGGATTTGCCAAGTCATCGTGCGCAGGTAACTATGGTAACAAGCACTTTGCCGTCCATCTGTGATCTGTTTTATGGAATGAGTCACACGATGATCAAAACCTTGACATGGTTGCCTTCAAAATGACTGAGGATTGTGGGAGGCAAGGAATGATCAAGTTGGACCCTAGACTCCTCACCCCTCACCCACCTTGAAATGTGCCTGTGAAAGCCATTATGCTACCCTTAGTGCTAGGTGTCCAGCTCAAGAACATAAGTATAAGTGTTACTTTAGTTAGCTTTTGTTTGTAATCAGTGAATCCGCCCTAGGCAGAAGCATTGGTTGAAAAGAGCAATGTTGGTGGGAAGTGTTCATTTGGTCGGTAGCAACACAAACTCAACTCACGCATTTCATAGTCGGTTGTGAACGTGTGAAGTACAGTTCCCACCAAGGGGCCTCCGTTGCTAGATAAATTGCGCCCTCTCTTGGTCGCGGTTTGGGCCCATACACCTGGCTTTATGACTCACCACAACACTTTAACATTGAAGGCAGTGCTTTCTTATTCCTATATTTTAACATTGTCAGTTGATTTTCATGCAGAGAATTAAACAGTTTTTACCATTGTATCCCATCAGATGAGTTTGAGTTTGTAACTCGAGTCCCAAAGGTTGAAGGACCGATCAGAACAGGTGAGTTTATAGCCTCAACTGAGACTTTCAGCAGAAGCCGTAACTGGTTTTCTCCACCCAAGCAATGTAATGAAACTGAAACGACTTGCAAAAATTCTGACTTGATCATCAAAAGCCTTATCATCCTGTAATTTGTTTGCTTTTTGTGCCTGAACTGTATGAATACTTTCGGAAAAATCATCTTGAGAACTCAAAACTGTTGCAATTTATGTTGTTTACAGACTCGATTGGAGCGTAGAAATGAATACTGTGTGAAAGTCATTCTTCTCGGTCATACCTGGCAGTGTTAGTTGGCAGTAATACTGTGCAGTGTCAGTGTTCAAATTATTCCCTTCTTTCTTGTGGGTTTTTTTTGTCTTTATGTTGAGTTTTTACCAAGATGGCAAAAATTAACTGACCTGACCCGAAAATCACAAATGCAAAACTTAACCAACCCAACTGATGTTGTGGAAAAGCTCACGTGACCGACAGTCCGCTTCAGGTCAGGTCAGGTTTGGCTTTGGGTGGGATTGGCACAGTATTACCATAGAGCTCGACAACAAAACTCTCCAGGGGATTGTCACGATTGGGGTGTTCCTCCCCTCTCTCTCCTCCTCCAGCGGCCAAGGACTGTGGCTACGTGGTGCCGGCCAACAGCAACCTGGTACTGACAATAGCGGCCTACGTCTTGGCGGGGCTGTGCATCCTCTGCCTGACGCCCATGCTGGTCCTCTACCTCCACTACAGGTGCCGGCAGTGCTGGCCCAAGGCCAACAAGAACGACGACAGCAAGCTGCTGGAGGACCGGACCGACTCGTCCGAGACGGAAGCGTTGAGGGAGGAACCGCAGCAGAGCCAGGAGGGGTGAAGGGTCAGGGGGTGAGGGTTAGGATCATTCAAAACTGGGAATCCTCTGTGAGATACGTCAAAAGTAGATTTCTTCTGTTACGGCTGGACTATAAAAAACATGTAGTTAGATAGCCGGACTGCCTGGAATATGTCTTTGCACAACTCTCTTTAATAACTGAGAAACATTCTTGAGAAACCAGTTGCGTTGAAAATCTCTCAGTGAGCATCAAACCCTGGATTTTTACACAAATATGCAGAAAGTCAATATTGCTGAAGCTGAGACTTTGAAGCAAGTGGGGCAGGCATTGCACGTTCAGATCTTTCTGAGCTCTCTTGATTGTCTGCAGCCATTTTCCACAACTGAATATCTAAGTTATCAAATAGCTGCATGGGAGCATAAGGTTTGCCATGCAAATGACATGGTTTTGCGTCATTGATCTTTTGCGGTCTTGTGAAGTTGTTACACATGATCCCGTCGTCTCCTGGTGCTACATATTTATTTGGCACATGTACATCCGGTGGGAAACTCAAGACAAGCAGTGTTGTAGCCCATGCCTCTTAAGACCATTACAAGACCACACAAGTCCAAATTCAAGTCACAAGCCATTTCTATGAACTGCAACCCAAAGGCGTTTCTCTTTCATTGTTCACTGTGTTTACTTGTGACTGGTCTTGGGGTGGACTGAACTTTTACACACTGCTAATAAGAATTTTTTTACAACCTTCATTGTCAGATCATGTCATTGATTGTGATTAGTCTGGCAAGATTCCCAAGCATTAGACCTAGGTGCTGAATTCGTTGTGAGTAGAGTTGGCTGCCAAAGGGGTTCTTTTAGGGGGGGGCAGTTGTGTCTTATTTTTCAGTGATTTTTGCTTATTTCTTTTTTTTTCAGTGTCTCTTGCTTTACTTGTTGGCATTGGCTTCCCCCATATGAGAATTTTGATGCAAGATAAGAAGCCTTCAGTTCTTTGTCGTAATTCAACATTTCATGGAAGTTGCTAAGCTTGATAATATCAGCATCATTTGCAGAAACGTCTACCTCCTCCATGCAGTCAATGCTGTTGGCTTATTCAGACACCCAAGAGTCTTTCTCACATTTTCAGATCCCCTCCTCCAATATTGCTTACCGTAAATGTGAACATTTAAAAGCTCCTTCACCCTGTATATCACCAAACAGATGTTCTTGTTATGTGGTTTGTGTTTTTGGTAAGGGGGACTTTTGTTTTGTTTTCAGTGAAACTTTATGAGGAATAATTGAAACCTCCGCAGAGGCTTTGCTTCATCAGTTACCATGGCAGCTTGCACTATCTTGACTTTTAGATAAGTGCACGCGTGAAGAAAATTATTTGAAGTTCTTCAATTCTCAAGACCGTTTACTTCAATTAATCTCTTACTGTGCTATATCACTGTATTTATTTATGTTCCTTGTACATTAAAAAAAGTAGAATCTCCACCAACTACTTTCATTCTGAATAATGAAACTTAATAATTCTACCGCAGATTATCTGTGTCCTGAAGACGGACATGCTTTGTGAGCTGTCTACTTTTGATAATTATTTCAAATATGAGATGATATCTCTAATGAAGAAAAATATATTAAATGTAATCAGGAAGCATTTGCGTTTGTTGACAGACTTTAATACTCATGGCAAATATGTATTGTCTTATGATTTTTTCCCTTCAGCAATAATATTTAGATAGACTAAAAGCTGCATTTTAAAAGTAAAATTCCTTTCAAACTGAAATGCCCTAGATTGCTTTGAATTACCACAGTTGATGCATCAGTGCCTCAGAGTGTATGAAAACGAGTGGGCATGTCAGGAAACTTTGACACAGTTTTGCTTAACTGACCTCCACCTCGTAGTCGTAGTAAAAACTAGCTGGCCCAAATTCTCGGAGTTTATAAGTGGGGCCTTGGAGGTAGAAACAGAGATTTGGGGGGTTGGGAGGAGGGGAGTTAGTCACCTGGTGGCCTTGGCTGTCTCACAGATGGCAGGGTAAATATTGTCCCGTAGGTATGCGTAGAAACGGCTTAGGTACCGCACTATGATAATGAAGCGGTTCATTATATTCTGACTGGGCGTCTTTCAAGCAGCATCTGGCTGGCCATTGAAGCAAGATATAGGACGGAGAGAACCCCCCCAGCCTTTGCGTTGGTTTGATCGGAATCTCAGGAATTCTTTACAGACTTCTAGGGGGGATGTGTTAGGTAACAATAGTCTAGAGTGTGCATAGGGATTGGACAGGTAAGGGGGGGGTACCCTTCCGTCCCATATCTTGCCTGGTATATGGCTGGCGGTGGTGGAGAACGGAACTCCGAGGATTACTAGTCATTGCCAGTGTGCGTCGAGCGTTTGTTTCTGACGGGTCTATGATAATGCCGTCTTACTGGGTACTTGGCACATTAGTTAACAGACACATGGCTGGATGGGGCTGGGGTGGGGTCTGACTGTAGCTAGATGATCTTCGTTTCGGGTCGCTAATGAAATGTATTTTGACTCAAATATGTACAAAGTGGATTATTTAGTGGTGTAATTGCTTTCAGCCAGCATGTTCACGTGTATTTTCTGCGTGCATGAGGAAACGTCACGCTCCCGAATTCTCATAACTTTGAAAGAGGTGCCTCGTTTGAGGCTTAATATTTCAAGCAATACAATTGCTTTTAATTGATTCCTAGACTTTATTAACCACTTACAGAAACTGAGGTTATAGCTTGGGTAATACATTTGCATAAATATATGCAAACGTATATTGTTGTGTGCACTTTTTAAAGTATGCGTACCGCACTCCTGAAGTGACTTTTCAAGTTGTGAGCAGATTTGGTATGTCTTGAATCGTCCCCCGGACCAAAATCTAAATTAATGGAATAGTGGAAGATAAAAAAAATTGTAGAGGAAAAAAAATGTTCACATCCTTCGACCGTTGTCTTCTTTTGAAGACGCCATGGTTGCAATTCTTTACAGCTAGCTAAAAACTAGTCAAGTAATGACGATGCAACCGCCTTCTTGTCCGGTTGTCTTCTTCTGAATCGAATGGTGTGATCCGATCATGTAACCATCTTTGGTTAAGTTCTTAAACGTGTCTGTACTGTATTTTATAGTATTGTATATATATATCTCCGAGCACAATAAAATACGTAAGTGAAGAAAGCTTTCAAGCTCGTTAGAAATGGACTTTGTGTAATGTGGAAGAGAAATAGTGGCTTGGAAATGGCAGGAGACAATGAGAAGGGACAAAACACTAGGAGGATGTTCCTATAAAGCTTCATTTTTCACTTTGTAAAGTGTCCCCTATTATCACCTCGTCAACGGGTTTTAGACGTTTACATATTGGACTACTGCAGCAATGATTGTGTCATGGTTTTCATCGCCTTTTTGCACCCTCTTGCTAAAACCTGGCTCGCGCTACGGCGTGTACGTGCGCTGATTTTGTTTTCATTGCAAGCTGGTGTGGTATGCGGTAGGGTTCAGTCAGAAGATTCGACTTCATCGGAGGTTTGTCAGACGGTCGACGTCAGACAGCTTCTGGAACCGTATTGGTCGCCAGTTGTAGTGACGAATTTGTAACTAAAATCTGATTGGCCTTTAGTTCTCAGGTATGCGTTTCCACGCTTCTGAACGCGCGGACAATTTCTGACAGTGTCTGAATGAGCCATTGCGGCATAGTTTGGACAGGGACCCGTGACCGCGCACTCTCAGTTGCTTCGTTGACGCATCCATCACGGGTACATTTCTCACTTTTCGCCGGAGTGGTTTTTTGGAGATAAGTCGTAATCTCACGCCTCGTCGCTCGGAATGCTTGTTCCAATTATGAGAAAACAATTAACTTCTCTTCGAAAACTTTATTTACCTATAGATAGGGTGTTGAGACCTTGACGAACAATACAGAACGGGAGACATGTTATCATGAAAGCAAATAAATAGGAACAGCGAAAACTGTTGTTCCGCACCTCGAAATGTACAACCATTTTACGGTAGTCTCTGTCGTTCAATGAAGAGTGTTTGTTTCCTTCAGGACAAATGGCCACTTGGGTGGCTTTCTTTAGCTAAGTCTCAAATGACCAAGTCGAGCGGAAGAGAATAAATGACAACTGCTGAAATGTTTTCAGGTTTATTTAGTTTTCACACAACACTTCTTTTATTCTACAAGAATATCAGCCAATGTTTAAAGCTATTTAATTTTGAATCGCCTTCAGCATCGTATCTTCAACACTTTTATCATCCGTAATTTGCTCAGTCTATTGGAAATTTGATGAATACATTCTACTTCGTAATTTCTTTGGCCATTAACCGCCACAACATCAGTTCAAGCACAGACTTCGTTAATTCCGTCGGGAATACTTCAAACTTCCACCAATGTATGTATCCGAGGGCAACAGGGCCAGCCCCTCCGAGAGCCCGATTTAAAAAAAATCGTCGGAAAGAAAACGTGTTTGGCCGTTTCATTTCCCCTCCTCCCAAAAGCATGTAAGAGCCCTAAAATGCAGCCTCGTCCCTCAGAAAGACCATAAAATGTTGCATGAAAACATTGCCGAATGCCCCCCCCCCCCAAAAAAACAGAATTGCCCCCCGAAAATTCGGTAGTGGATCTGCCCTTAACTTCAACCAGGACATAGAATGATATCTCTCTGTAATCGCAGTACATAGCAAGTCATAACAACGTAGCTAACGGACCGTCACGTCGGTAGGATTTGAATTTTGTGCACAAGGTTTGAAGCCTCATTCAAGCTCTGTTGGGATCACTGTTAACTTTGTTCATGGAGTGTAGAGGGAAGGAACTCGAACAGGAATTGAACCCGCGACATTAAGTTAAAATACATGCGATGTATAAACTCCAAAGAGCTATGCGGCTGAATAATAACTTCTCTAATTTTATAATTAAAAATGATTGCATTGTGGACGACCAATTTACATTTTCTTAACCCCCTGATAAAAAATCTAACTTTAATATCAAATTAATTTCTGTGAGAAATCACCGATTCTTCCGAATAAATATTAGTAAAAGTAACATTGGCCAACAACAGAACAGTTTTTAAAATCAGATTTGAAATGCTTTCATCTTACAAACAGTAAAGCTTGTTTAACACTATATAATACAACATTATGTACAGTACATGTAATAATCTATGTGGTGGCAAGTCAACTGTTAGGTGTTCGAAAGCAACCGATTTGAATGCATTGAATGCAGGTTTTTAAAACCTCAGGTGACCCCCTTTTAATCACTTTTGAATTTTATTCTAAGCTTCTAGTAACAGGGCTAAATGGTTTTTCATGCATTTTAATTTGCATTCCTTTTCTGATAACTCATTTGATGGTTGCTCAACGGGCAAATCAGTCGCTTCGCTCTTCTTCGCCATCAGCACACTCAAATGTATGTACACAGTATCACTCAACACGCCTCATCCACTGCACTTTTTGTCATATCCCGGTCTTAACATATACTCGAGAAGATCTCGAGACATCATGTAAAGTTTTCTGCACTTATTCTCTGTCATGTGCTCACTCGATTCTGTGTTCTTAGGAGCGTACACGACAACTGTCGTGTATTACAACATGGTATCGTGTATGTACGCAAAGAGAAAAAAAAATGAAATTGTTCTTATCATGATGTCGCATCCAGGTCTCCAAATCTACGCCTACATTTTACTATTGATTGTCAAAGAAAAGATGTGGGCCTAACAAGCAAAACAAACCAGCTACGAAATTGAATTTTTCTTCGTGAGTTTAGAGTCACGCGTTATACCAAAACCAAAACCAAGTTTTCCTCTATCCCTGGAACTCGGAGATGATGGCGTAGTATGTTAGGACCAACCCGCCAAGCTGCAAAAGAGATAAAAAGATGAATGAGTGTATGCAACTTACAAATGAGATTGTGACAGAATGTCACCTTGTATCTGGCCGCAGTATTTAGGGAAACATTATGTCGTCACATGTAACTAACCATAAGTATCCAATTTTCTGTTGAAATGGTCTGAGGAAACCTTAATGTGACTTGAATCTGATAGTGACACATTGGAATAGAAAGCTTTCTTGTTGACGTACCGGGTTCTAAAAACACTGACGCGAGTCGGATGGCATATTCATATAACAAAGATTTGTAGAGGGCTTCCACCGTTTAAAATTCCGGCCTGAAAGTAGGAAACAACACCTGAAAAATGTCCAGTCCCCTCTCTTAAATAAACGAGGATCTTATGCAGTGCCAACAAATCCAAGTTTTATTCAAAAAAAGGGTTCCTTATTACAGAAGTGCGTCGAAATGTTTCGTACAGCCGGTAAATGTTCAAGACCAGAATTAATTGAAAGAGTATTGGATGAGATGGCTTCAGTTTGGCACTTTGCCAAAACACATCAAGTTTCTTCCCGCACAATATCACGTTTATAGTCACAGTTTTGTAATGGATGTCAGCTGTGCATGTCGAAGATGGGAATTTGAATGCACATGAGGAGCGATACGCAATTTTACCGAAAAAAGAGGGAGAAAATACAGACAAAACAGCCGCCAGAAAAAGGTACTCTCTCTTATCTTGGATGACCGATACCTACCGTCAATATGAAGGGTTTGGTGATCGTGACTAGGTCGAAGATGGTGAAGCCGATATCCTCTCCGTTAAGCCTGGACAAGAACAGGTTCATCTGCAAAATGTCAAACACGGCATGCGATGTCACATTTCAGTAGCCAAGATTCTGTACCAAACATCCATCGTGCTTGAATGATGGCAAACAAGTCCGAATCGAGTTGTGTTGTGCACGCTATGAATATAATGCTTCCCAATACGGTTGCTAACTAAGGAACAACCAGGTTGAGTATCGTGCGAGAAAAGAAATACATAAAATCTGCTAAATGTATTGAGTCAATTATAACATGAAAGTGAATCTAAAGAACATGAAATGTGTTGAAATTCAGATACCTGCATAAGTTGTTCATTGGAGACGTCTTTTACCACACATACATAACAATCGTCTCTGGGATCATGCGCCTGTGAAAACATTTGGAGACAGTAGAAAATTTGTTTTCAAAATTCTGACAAGTAATCATGTGTTTAGAAAGTAACAGACGAGAGGGTAGGTGTTTACAGTTCCCGCTTATCCCCCTTCCCCGTTTCCTGAAAGGTCAGACCATCTCCAAAATGGGTTTTGCACTCGATATGATAAGCCTAATTGAAGGTCGCCCAAGCAATGTATTACTTGCAACTTCCTTGGGGCTTGTATAGCCAGTGAACTTTGAGCCCGCTAGCTCAAATTGTTTACATGCATTGGTGTTCATACCCTGATTAAGCGAGAAATAAGCGTGCAGTCATACCTTGGAACTCATGACCGCCGCGTACCAAGACACGACGCAAACGTTGATGAAGATTGAGGACAGCCAAATTCCGTACATCAGGTAGGCAGATATGTTGCCAGCGATTCCTTGAGAGAAGAGCAGCTGGTACAGCATGAAGCACGCCAGGGGGCCCATGGTCAGGTAGGTGATCAGGTTGATGTAGGTGAAAAGCCCGCTGTTTGCCAGACTGACCGACTCGCACAGATGCTGGTGCTGACGCCGGAGCTTCTCGAAATTTGGCGGGAAAATCTTCTCGGCGGTGGCTCGCTTGGTTTCCTTTTCGATGCGCTCGTCGAAATCTTGGAAGAGCCTGCTCATGAGCTGGCACGTCAGCAGGAAGTAGAGAAGTGGGAAGATCCAGGAGGCAAAGGCGTAGATGTTTAAGTAGATGCAGACAACGTGCAAGCCGATATGAGGATAGAAAGGCGCCACAAAGATGTTGGTGGAGTTCCGGATGGACTCGACCGGACCGAACACCCCAACAACCTGATTCAGGAAGTGGCAGCACACGTAGAGGATGGCGACTGCGGCAAACGCCTTGGACCGCCGCCGGAGCCAGCCCAGGTCCAGCTTGTTCTCGGCGTCCTGCTGGATGTACTTCTCAAAGTGGAAAAAGTATTGGCGTAGCATCTTCGTGCGGGAGGCGGCCCAGAAGTTGACGCTAGCGTTGAGCGCGGCCTGCAGGAGCACGGTCATGTAGATCACCTTGAAGTACAGCCGCGATGGGTCCAGCTCAGCCCCGACGAAGAAGGCGGGCAGGAACCGAACCAGATTGATCCACAGGAAAATGAGAACGACGATGGAGTAGTTACGGGAGTTCAGGATTTTCCTTGACTTGCTCTTAGCTTTCGGAGGTTTAATGACCTCTGCGTGCCACAGCCCCATAAACTGCATAAACTTGAATAGCGGCGACATGGCTTCGTAGTAAGTCAAATGAATGTCACTGTCATCGTCGTCATTCTGCACAACGTGATGTCTCGCATCGATGCCAGTGACATCTGTGTCATGATCTCCTGTCTTGGATCTTACGAGGATGCCGACTACCGATCCGTTGGTATGCGTCATCTCGTAGGCATTAGTCGGGGTGTTCTTGGTGACGTAGGGTGGTGGGGGACTTTCGTCGGTAACCAGTGGACAGACACTGCTCGCCCTTGACATTGTGACAATCGTTACTCAGCCTCAGAGAAGAGAAATTGGGACAATCTACATAAGGAAGACAGGGAAACAAGATAAAGATAAGTGACGGCGTAGAGTGACGACTATACTGGGTAAAGGCCGGTCTAGACGCCGTGCCCCTGCTGTACCGATTTGTTTTTTGTTTGGTTGCTTGTTTTGGTGTTTGTTTGTTTGTTTTCAAAAAAGGCCTAGGCTATACACCGTGCTAATGGTGTGCCGAGCTTAATCAATACGAGCGTGGCAATAGCAAGGCAGTCACAGTAGCTGCCTTCAACGCCGAAGTTAAATAGAGCAGTGTGGTGCCAATGCCTCTCGGAACTATGGGTGCGATAGCGCGGCATACCCTGTCGATCTTAAGAGCCTGTCGAGTGTAATTTGCTGAGCCGCTGATTAGCACTTAACGTCGTGCCATTGCTGTGCCTAACTTTAAAAATCAGTTTATTTCAGTTTGGCACGGCAGTAGAGCGGAGTACAGTCTGGGCCGAAGGCACAGTGTGATACTACCATTGCGCTCGGGCAAATTGAATCTAGCACAGAAGTGCAATGATACGATAGAGTCTGCCGCGCTTTCGCCATCCTGAACGGCGGTGGCGCGACTATGTTCTAAGAAGTCGTACTGTAGTCTAGCCGAGTGTGACCACATTCGAAGATAGCAACTCTCACATGTGGCAACGAACCCAATAAAAAAACAAAAGGAGTGGCTGGGTGCAACTTTTTTTTCAATTGCAAACTCCTCTCAAACATATTATGTCGGTCTGAGAGCACGTAGTGTAAATAGAAACCTGCCTTTTGGGGGATAAGCCAAGAGCTTCAGAGAACATAAATGAATTATACTACTTCGAAATAGCAGAGTCTCTTCGATCGTTGCTATAATCGATAATGGACGGTCGGTTTTACTGGAGATACAACCGCGCGGACACGCTAATCCATTTCTTGGGATAGCCGCCAAAGTCAGACCCCAAAAAGTAAAATCTGTTGATGTCCAAATGACAAAAACGGGCGCTGCCTGGCGAAACTTGAGCCAGACACTTGTGTGCAGGTGCGAGGAAAATAAATCGGTACTGGCTTTCAATCTTTTTGAAGCCATCTGTTAGTGTACGCTCCGATTACTGTCATTGTAACCGAATGAAAAACTCCTTGTAAAGAAAAACAGGTATATAAGAAAAGACGAGAGAAGAAAGAACGCATGCCGCGATGCCTAAATAGTGCCGAGGTCTGCACGGGGGTTAACTAAACTATGTGCAGTGATTTACGGCTTCCTAATTGTGAACAAAGTGACCGGTTAAGCATATCATGGAGACTTAGTGCAAAAAAGGCGAAGCATTTGCCAAGGACCAAAGTGACTCCCAAGCTGTGTACGGACGGCTACAAAATGACGCAGTGGGCCCGTCCTCTTCTGCGTGCACCACTTACCCGGACTTATGCAATGGCCAGGCTCTCAGGAAAAACGTCCTGTTAACCTTTGCTTCAGCTGAACTAAGCACCGTCTGTAATTTGCAGTAATTGTCGTCAACTACCAATCTGTGAATAGGATACATTAATTTCATTTGGTGACTTCGTGTCCCGGGTGCTAGAGTGCAGTGATGTGGCGGCGTGTATTCTCGTCCATTCGTCAAGGCGACGGAAAAACAGTCCAGCTCGTCAATTCTCAATTACGTGTGTACTCCGCAACTGTCACCGTTACTGAGAATCGGAAGTAACCATCAGACTCAACCAGTGCGCGTGGACCATTAATCTAACGACTGACGTCACGGCTGTCCTACGAGTTATGAAATCTTACGGTGCTTTGCTTAATCAACAGAACGCTAATTCTTCAAGTTGAAGAGAAGAGTTGGAATCTTTGGTTGCCATATAGGCGTCTGGAGGGAGGGGACGTGAGCGTTTGCCCCTCCCCCGGGAATAAAAAAATACAAAAATGGGAGTGTGTGTGGTTAAAGTGATGTGTGGCAAAGCGGTGGGCCCTGAAATATTTGTTCATATAAATTAATTAGTGAGCCCGCCACCTTGTCAAAGGGTTTCTTCGTGACTCAAACGAGATAACACGCTGTACGTCCTTGAAAACGTTTCACCAACTGAAACTCCGCCGGCGGTCATGCACAGACCCGCAAATCCCCCATTTTCAATCCACTGCAAATGCGGCTTAGGGAACACGAGGAAGAGATGGGATCCGCATATTGTTTTCCTGTTTTTCAGCTCCTCCCTAAAAAAAATCCGTATTTTCGAGATCTGGCACATGCAGTGCTCACAATGCCCGACGAGACAAGATCCAGTGGCTTTTGATCATTTGAAGTCGGCCATTTGTCGAGCCGAATCTAAGTAAATTGACACAAGGGATTGGTTGTCACCGTTATTGACTCTCCTGACACTTGGAACTCGGTGGGTTTCCGCTGTACCCCGAGAGTGTATTTTCTTTTCTCCTTTTTGGGGGGTGGGGGTTCGCTGTGAAAACTCTCAGGGGAGATTATCCTTAACTGTAGTGGTGTAATCCCGTTTGAAACTTTTCTCGGCTTTTATTAGTTTCGGGGACCCCGGAGGAACGATTTAAAGTCTGCGATGGACAAAAAAACAGAAACTCGCGAATCACGATGCGCAAGCAAAGTGGCGTTACAGAACAATTCCAATCACGGATATGATTGGAAACCAAAGCTTTGTTTTGCTCTTCCAAAGAGTTTAAATATTTTGTAAAGAAACTTAAATAGACATTTTCAGACTTTAATTAAGCTTTTCTTTTTAAAAACAATTTGGTTGTTGAAATGGCAGTTAAAGTTTGAAGGATATTATTCTAGATTAAGTGCGATCGAAATTTTTTGTTTGCATAAAAATGGCTTTGTTGTTTAAATTGCTTCAGTCAGGCTTCGGTTCCTTTCCATTTATTCCCATTTTGTTGTTTCTTCTACTTCTGTTTTCACCTACGAATCTTACTACCAGTAGTTTTGTTTGCTTACTTTAAATCCTGAGAGATTTTGCTCACCCCAAGAACCAAAATATGCCCGCCCAGAGCCTTAGAGTCCACAGGAATGTGCGATATACACCAGCCCCAGCTGGCGTACCTTGTAATCCGGACCCTGTCTTTTCATTTCGCGTTCGATCCGTGATCTGAACGAATCGATATAGTAATTAGCTTGCCTCGTCACAAGTCATATTTAGTCCGTTCCATTAGTGTCGCTAAGTAGGCACTTTGAGCTGATGTGGTGAGTTTAGGCTTCTGCATGTTGCTTATAATAATTACCATATTCCCTTCAAAGAAGTGCGGACAAGAATCGATACCAGGGCTGGGGCATGGTGAAATGGACAGTTATATTGTAATCTTCTGAAAGGGGAGAGATATGGGGTGGGATCGAGTTGCGTCCTTGATCGGAGAAGTGGTTGTTAAGTACCTGGATTTAGTTGGGCTGCAAGGAAGCAAACTAACTTCGTCATTTTCACAATGAAAAAAATACTTCTTTTTACCGTGCAGCCGTTAAACCGTGCAGTTACGTTCAGGGGGGGGGGTCCGGAAGACGTTTATGCATCAGGCCAATTTCTCAAGCTGTATGGTGCTAGCAACGACACTCCTGTTTTGAAACTTACGTCCGACGGAAAAAAATGGACTGCCTTTCCTCTCAAATTTCCCACCGACAGGCAACATTTAGCCGCAGCATACGTAGCCATATGAAGTATGATTCAAAGCAAATGTACTGAACACATAAACATCATCTATAAAAGGCAAAAGAGTGAAAACATGGTTCCTTGAAAGTGTGGACATCACTATTTTGGAGTGGTTTCACTTTTTAACACTAACCCCCTAGGGTGAATGTAAACTCATATTGATTAGGAGGATTTGGGACTGTTAGGGCTCGGGTTTTCACTCTCTGTAGAGCAGCTTTAACTCTTTGTAGAATTGTTTTTACTCTATTTACAGTGGGTTCAATCTTTTGCATTTAGAGAGCAGAAATATGTTTCTATGCAAAATGATTCACAGTATACGCACATGAGCAATTGCAACACCGAGCAGAGTGCACTAACTTAGAGTTATCGATTAACTTTCGTGTTATGACCGTTGGTGGCAACTGGAAGCGATATTCTAGAAAACAGTTTCCTTCTTGATCGTAGATTGCGGTTGGGGACTGATAGGCCTATGTATCGACGGCCATTGTTGATGTGGCGAGGATTTTTTCGAGTAGTAATAAAGCTGAAGCACTTGTCAGCAACAAGATGACGAATCTTCCGAGAAAGTAAGTCGGTGATTTTCTCCTCGTCACTTTTTTGCCGTTTAATTCGCTTTTACTTCTCTTTTTCCTTTTTTTGATTTGCCAACACCTGTACTCCGAAATCAACACCTTTGTGACGGAGAAGAGTTCTCTTTTAATTGTGAATGAACTTTAGATTGAAGACTTAAATATCATTTGGCTTCTGAAAGGTTTTGTGTATTTGCAACAGGTGAAGACGCAGGCCTGTAAGACTCCGCCACAGAAATGATTGAAATTTCAAACCTTCGCAAGCAACATTGTTTAAAACCCCATGCACACCTTTTCGTCTCAACAGGTTCATTTATAGCCTTAGTCAATGTGATGATAAAAGTGCTCACCGGTCACTAATTGAAGGAGCGACGGGCCATTGTTTTCCCTTAAACACAGCTTCTGAACTTGCAAAAAAAATAGTTTGAATAATTCCAGAGTGTAAGAACTGGGGGAGTTTTCAAACCAGGTTATCTACGCAGAGAGTTTTATACGGTTGTAAAATGAAAAAAAATTGAATCAGAAACGAGCGGCGCCATTTTGCCAGTTTTGCTTCATATGCGAGCATTTTTTTTTCGCAGACGAAATTCCTCTTTCTACAGGAAAACTTGCTGTACACTCACACACAAACTAACGAACCTTTGGGCCAGTTTTACTCTGAATGTGCTTCAAGTAAACTTTTGCATTTTTTGCAAGGAATTTACTCCAAAGTGAAAGCAGTTTATATTGTGACTAATGTTGGGTTGAAAGTCGAGCGAATACACAGTTTAAATTCATCATCTGGTGAAATAAAACTTTCATTTCCGAAATAGGTCCCGTCGATTTGGAAGTCGGAAATAAAGCTACAAGACATTCAGAACTGTTTTCTTTCAACGAAAGTGTCGCATCGCCAAACTGAAGTAACATTTGTATTTTACTTGAATTAGTGGGACTTATTTCTAGAAAGAAAAGTGTTATCCGGAACTTCAGAAACGACCGTTAGTCGTTAATTAAAGAAATTACTAAGCACATTATAAACCCTCCACCGACGGATTAAAGGAGCTAGTTTGACACATGCCAAACGAAAGGAAGGTCATGTAGACTCATTATTTGTGTTTTAGTGTTCACAAATGCTGGAATTAAAGAAATTTTGTTGAGTAAACCGGGCAACCTGGAAGTTTATTCCATAAGCGCAAGCTTCGTAATAAAAATTCAAACGACAAACTAGGGGGATTTGTGCGCTTTTCGTTTAAGTGCTGTAATTCGACATAAATGGTGTATTTTGATATCAACGTCGTTATGTTTCTCCTCGAGTGATTGTCTACACGACATGCAACAATTTTTTTCGTTTTCTCCAAGGAAATCTTAAAAAATCCATACTTGAAAGATATACACGACATTTTACATTACGAATGTGTTTTTTTTCGCACAAAATCTAAGTATTCTCGCATTTTGCTTTTCTGTGACTGACACTTCGTCAACAATCAGAAAATTCGACAGTTACCGCAAAAACAGAAAGCTTTATCAAGTGATTTTCTAAAATATCATTGTTAAAGTAGAAATAGTTTCATTAATATCTCGTTTTCTGTAATTATTTCTAAAAAAAATTTCGGTTATTTATTAATGAAGAAGTCACTTTTCATACTTCGTTACATGTATTTTTTTCGAAGTATCAAACCAATCAAAAGTTTTTACGGTCAGCGTTCTGCCATTTTGATTTTGTTAATTATGAAAAAGGTAAAAAAAATGATCTTCCCATCAATAAGCAAAAGAAGTAAAAAACGGCAGTTTATAAACCTAACAGTCCTGAATCCTCCATTTTCAATATGATTTGACACACACCCGAGGGAGTTAGGGTTAAAAATCAGCAGTAGAACCAAACTGTGATTATAATGAAATGAAGATTTGGACTCACTTCGTTCTGTCTTGCTGAAGCTTCTCGCGGTTGGATTGCACCGGTGGTGTCGGTTGTCACACACGCCTGGACACACACGCAGAAACGGCCCAGTGGTCGTATTAGTCCCAAACTTCAACACTAGACAACGCCTTTTCGACAATTTACTCGCCCCTTAGGGTCTGATTAGAAGACAAACTTCCATGTTTGGAAAATAAACAGGCCTCTCTCATCGTCGGAACAAGAAGCGAGTTTGAAGTGGACTCGAGAATAAACCGAGTGGCCCAGACTGAAATTCGGCCGTGAGCAGAGTGCTGGTGTGAATGCAGCAACAGTACAATGATGGCGACTTACGGGCCCACGGGTAGTGCGGGAAGGAAAGTCTATGGGAACGGTTTTCATCTAACCACCCTAAGCCTTTTGATTATCAGATGAGATGCTTTGTATCGATCCACGCTGGACTGAATAATGATGGTACAAAGCGGAGAGTTTTTGTGTGAGCAACGGTCTGACTAGGAGACTAACGACCTTCGCCGCAGGAAGGGACGAAATTACTGACCCCGTTTATTGTTAGAAACATTTGGGGGTTGTAGGTCCAAATGCAGCTCTAAATCCTACAAAATTTGCCAAAACATCTGGGCGGGCAGTTTTCCTAGACTATTGGGCCAAATCAGGTTAACATAAAGGACTCCACAACCTGATTGATAATGTCATTCGCATGCAGTTTATAAATAATTGTTCCCCTCAGTGCGTGCATGTCAATCAAAAACTGCAGTTACTGTTACTGGGAAAATGTAGGTGATATTTTCTGGAATTTACGGTGCGAAAAAGTCGCTTATTTCTAATTCAGCTGTCAGGTACCCCCTCGGGGTACCAGCGAAACTCGCGAGGCATCTGGGTATGGGTAAATCCCTCTTTTGACCCCACCTCTATTCAAGTTATTGTGCACGTTGTTGCCATAGCAGTGTCAACAATAAACACGGAATTGAGCCCGCAGGGCTGATATTCAGAGGACTTAGCGCCGTCCGGGTCCAGCACTGTGACGTTGGGAAGGCCTAATACGGAGCTTTAAAAGGGACATGGGTGAGGGAAAAAACTGACAAATTATTTGTTCAAACGAAAAATTCTTCATTGCACGAAAAAAGTCCTCGGACGAAAACAAAATATAGCCGTTCGAACGAAACAAATCTTCATTTGAACGAATATCTGTCCTTTTTCCTCACCCATGTCCTTTTAGAAGCTCCGTAGGTTAATGATCTTATCTCTCGCAAAATTTTGTGAAGGGACTACGCTGACTATATACGGGCGATTTACAACAGTGCGCCTCTAAGAGTTTGCAACGCGTTGACCAATCACAGTGCACGAAATCTGTCGACCCTTTCCGAACGCGCATTGGGTCGACAGATTTCGTGCACTATGATTGGTCAACGTGATGCAAATTCTTGGAGGCGCACTATCGTGAAACGTCCATATTGGCCTTGCACTCTGGAACTCGGTGGCCAAACTTTTGACCAGTATTTTGCCCGCCGCGACATCAAAAATGATATTGGTCACTGGGTCCAGCCAACTAGTGCATAATGGCCAGCTGCATTTGTCATTGATGAAACAAGAGCTCGATGCGTTATTTCACTTCATTGTTGAATGGTCACATCACCCATTAATTGACATATATCTATCTTATTGATGAATTTGATGGTTTATAATTATTGTTATAGAGGTAAATGATACATCTGCTAAACTCTAGTGCATTTTTACCTTGTGCTCGCTTGTTCGTAAATTACTGAATTGCCGGATTATATAACACTGCAAAAACCAACGCCCATTATAAACGCGTCTTAGAGTTAATTATAAACATGTACTTCAACCGTTTAAGATTAAACACCTTTTTGGAAATAAGCATGTTTCGGTGTTCAGAAAGTTTCACCAACCCGATAAACGTGTTTTGTGTCTTGTTATTAACATCCAAACGTTTCATTGTGCCTAAACTTGTTAACACGTCAACATGTATAGTTGCAAAAACATCGCAACATGTTTAGCTTTGGATTTTTAACACCACAACACTTTCATAAAGTGTTAGCAGGAAGTCGTTTTATCAAATACTAGTTATACTTATTTTTACAGTGAAATATAAGGTCCATGGAAATTGCCTAAATTGGCCTACATTTGGAACATGTAGGCTTACTGGGACGAAGCACAACGGAACTGTCTCGAGGCAACGGTTACTGGCGACCTGAACGGGCATCTATACGCTGCTGCCGCTTCTGATTGACTGACCGTTATCCATGATCAGTTCTCGTTATTTGATTCTGATTCCCGGGAAGTATTATCGAATGGTCCGTTTTTGTGACAGATTTCAAAGGATGTGTACAAGACCATCTTTGTCAAAGATTTCAAACTTTCCCATTGTCATCTGAAAAATTCACGGCAATTGAGAAGCATGTTGTGCAATGTCGGATAGAATCCAACTAGAGGGATCCCAATACGACGCCTTTAGCGTCGATCTGCGCATTTCTGCGTTTGAAAACGAGGCTGTATGTGTTAGTCTCAATTCTTAATACGATCAGACGATGGAAAGTAAGAAGTCAAGACACAAAATACATAAAGGTATGTTAAATTCAGACTTTCCAGGCTTCAACTTTTTGTGGAAGAGTCTTTCAGGATGACTCAACACGTAAAACGTACCTGCAATGGTCGTGTATCTTGTGCAGTGGGTGTGGTTTAAACTGAAGTGGCGCCACACTCACGAACCGGATACTGCATGTACTGAGTCGACTCCGCGGGCGCGCGCGCGAGGAACTTCAACACAGAGAGCCTCGGTTTTAATGCAGATATGCGCAGATGGAGCTAATGTGAAATCCCTCATGTCATGGCTCGAAATTAAATCCTTGCTTTTCCTATTTCATTGGGTGCGTTCGATTAGCTTACACGTGTAAGTCAAACATACACGTGGATTGAAAAAAATCAAAAGATCCCGATATAACTGAAAAAATATTCATCACTTCGTTTGTAATAAGTCTTCAATTTGACATCCTTCTGAGCGGGAGCGTTGTAAATCTGCCTTTCATAGTTTTTAAGAAAACACATTCGACGTATCGTGCTCAAAGTGCTTTGCGACTGATCCACATTGCCGAAAGAGTAAAAAAAATCAACTCAGAATCAGCAGGCATGGATGAAACGTCACGCCCCGAATTTATACGAAGAGGATTATGCAGTTGATGTAATAACTACTTACGGCATTTGATTTCATTAGTTTTGTTTGTTCTGCACAATGATCCAAGACCGTGGTATCTCAATATCTGAAGGACGCCAGTGATGTACATTCTGTGCACTTAGAAGGTCCACATAAGAATTGAAATTTAAATGGCCTTCCTTCCAGCAACCATGATCCAGGACGCTTCAAGGCTCCCTAAATTATCTTAACAGGTCACCTGAAACTGCAAGCTGGAAGTGAAGTGAAGCAAATGAATCAATATCATGTTAAATTTTGCCAAAGTTCTGTTTGGTTTTTCCTGGAAAGAAATGACCCAGTCTCCCCGGAGAATTACATAACGGTGTAACCTGCAGTTATCAAATTTACTGCTGCTTCAGGGAATCATTTCTTTTATTTCTCACAACACAAAATCAGAAAACACACAGCCATTAGGCATTATACTTTACGGCATCGAAACATCAATTGATGGGTCTGCGTATGTTAGGCTTGATCAGTCAGGAAATAAACAAACGTTAAACTAAAATATCTTTGCTATGTAGCATTAAACTCTCTGTCTACAAAAAAACATTTTCTCTCCAAACGTTAACATGATATGTAAATTGCAAGTGTACAAATTTACCGTGGTAGTGAATAAAGCAACACAATCTCTGTCACAAACAATTATGGGGATGGATATAGACGTACCATGGACTCGAGAAACGTTAGTTGGTCGAAAATGAACAACTCCAACAAGAAAAGGAAATGACCACAGGCACACATCAGTTTCTCGGTTTGTGAAAATGCCTTTCTGTTCTCGAGATTGGTTTTGTAATATTCTTTATCTTTTCGACTATTGTCTTTGTTTGACTTTATTATGGCTAATTGTCTGTGCAATTTGGTTGTTACGCACTCTTGATTTTTCTCTTTGTTTTAAATCGGTTGCGATATATGTACAATAAGCAATACTTATCCAGTATCTAATTCAAACATCACCAGCTTTTCAAAATATATATAAGTCTTGGATAATTCGTGACAAGCAGCCCTAATGTTCCAAGCCTCTCTTCTTGAATATTAATGTATTGTTATAAATATTTGCAAAGCATTCAATGATGGTATCTGTTGACGATTCAAACTCGCAACAATACTGCGACGGTTGAAATACTTATCCTCGACATATCATTAGCATATGGGACAACGACAGGAACAGCAGCATTGCTGTGGGTAGTCTGGTGCATACACCTTGCGCTGTTGACCGTAGAGCCAATACTTGCCTCCTTTCCCTTTCCTCGTGTACTCAACTTGTGCGATTGGAATCCCGACCAGCTTGTGTCTCTAAAAAGCAAAAGCAAAAGTCATGTGAGAAAAATATAAAGTGACCCGGTTAAAAAACAAAGCAGTCACGAGACGGATCCTGAGCAACAAGGTATTCGGAAGAGTGTCAACGGATTAAAAGGATTGCCTACGTCACATCAGGCTTTGACTTGACACGAGTCAGTTATAGATAACGAGCAATAATAACTTTTGATACGCGATAAATTGGCGGCCGTGGTAGTCCGATTTCTTACCTGTAGTATCAGGCGCTCCGTTTTCACATTTGCATGTTTCGCCACAAGCTTCTCTGATTGGCTGTTCACCTCCAAGGTCGGGAAGTTACTCAAGGGCGCCACCTACCGGAGGCAGTGATTGAAACAGTGAATCCGTGAAAAACAGAGACGAAGCGAAACATTTGGGCACAATTCTCCAGAACCGGAAAATTTGAAAGTTTCATAGATGACAGGACATATTTTAAGACCGTTCATAATCAGAAAAGACTCAGCTCTTTCAATTTCTGTCTGCGTCAGCCTTAAATTTGATTTCTTTCAATCTTAGCTTCCAAGAAAACTGTAGTAAAAGAGAAAGTGGGTGAGGCAAATGATACAAATTTTTCAAAGAATGCTCCTTTTTAGTCTTACTTTTTCCCGACGTAGCTTATATACGGATAACATAGGTGACGCTCAGACGTACAAACTTACTATCTGTGCCTCTTCTTCAAAAAGTGTGATGCCTTCAATCCCTCTTAACAGTTTCCTTGGTAACCGCTTATCAGCGTGATGCAAATACTCGTCTGTCTTGACTTTGCTATCACGGGAAGAAAAAGAGCGTACATAAAACACACATTTTGTTTATTAATTTGGTTCATGTGAGATGTACATGATAAACGTTTTCTTCAAGCAGTGAGAAGACTGCGGTCCCCGCGTGCATGTGCCTTGCATAAAAATCCTAACTATGCCGAATCCAGCAAGATTCCGTACAGCGGGGGCTAGGATAAAATACTGTGCATGAACCAGTCGCTCTTGGGACATGCCCCACTGATTAAAGTTTGACAAAAAGAGGGTCGTAGTCGGCAGGATTCGAACCTGCGCGGGGAGACCCCAACAGATTTCTAGTCTGTCGCCTTAACCGCTCGGCCACGACTACGGACAGTATTTGCCACACCTGCTTAGCATAGTTCACATTGTAGTGACGCATCTGTAACTTGTTTGGCAACTGTTCTGCAAAACCTTAGGGCTTATGTTGAATAATCTCAATATGTTGAAGGCTCCTAGTTACTTCCAGGAGGATGCCGCAATCTTTTTATTCGTCTTCGCACGACAGTTTTTACAGCTAGTGCTATTCAATACCAGGCAAAGATTGCATCTCCGTCTCCAATTTACTTATAGCTATGTCTGGAAATAATACATGTCTCCATGGGAACCACTATACAGCAAGCGGCCACAGCCGCTTCCAATAGACTAGATGTGTGCAGTTGCGGGCCCTATATAGCCGGGTAAATGGACACGGCCAGCCCCACTACATGGCAAAATTCAACCTAAACTTACAATGTCGAAGTAACTTCAATGAAGAATTCCAGTTGCTTATATGCCTCGCAAACGGAACACGATATAACCGCATGACCATTACATCGGAAACACCTGCCGAAGGACAGAAGGAAAAGATTAAGAATACACCATACTGGCAGAGCCATTATGCTTGCTACTGTTAGGCAAACTATCCAAAGTTTATGATTTTTTATTTGAAATGGCAATATGCACCAGCCTTTGAGACCAGCTGTCCTGGTGCAACGAGATCATATGCATATATTAGTTTATAATTGGGTGATACGATAATACTTATGATAGTTCTCAAACCACAGCTAGTCATGTGATTGTTAGTCTTGTTGCAAGACACTACTGAATGTTTGAAATAGATCGTATTCGCCGAAAGACTGCGCTATCACAAACGAACCACTTTCAACAATGGGTAATTACAATTACCACGAGCAGAGTCTCGCTTCCAAGACTGGATCACTACCAACTTGAACCTATTCAAGTGCAGAAAGAAAGGTCGCAATCTTCAATGTAACTCAACCCATGTTCATTACCCATGGTCATAATACCTTTGTCTCCCTTTACCCCTGCAGTATTCACACTCTTTGTTTCCTCGCTGGCCCCTGGCCTTGCAGTATCTACACTTTGTCTGTGAAAATCACAAGCAAGAAAAAAAGGACAACCAAATATACATGTACCAACAAACGACGCCAAAGGTGCCTTTCTATCATAAATACTGCACACTACAATATTAGTTTGACAAAGACTCATGAAATTAATACAGACTCACTTTTCCCCTTCCTTTGCATCGGTAGCACTTATTGAAGCCTCTTCCACTGCAGGCGTAACAAGTCTGGAAATGTCAAAAAGTGAGGGGAAACTTACAGAAAAGGAACTGCACTCCTTGGGACATCAGTGTTTCACTAGAGCTCAAAGAACTGAATTTTTTTATTTGACGCAAAGTAATTTTTTCCGTAATTATTGTTTCCCTCAAACTTGGCTTTCGAAGGATTGGAAGAGGTGCTGAAGAGTATTTGTACCAAAAAGAACGTTGTTGTAACTCGCAAAACCTCCAGCAATTTATGATGTATAAATACTTGATCGAATCCGCTTAAAAATACAATTCGTTATAAGTATGGTCTCCATAAATAAGGTAATTGTTTTGTTCTACCTCTATTATTGAGCAGTGAGGTACCCTGACGGTCTTGACACAAGGTTTGTATTTCTCGGGCGCCTCGATAGCTGCCTCCCAAAGAGCTGGAGGGGCGCCCTCTTGTGGTGAGTCTACGGTTTGGCCTGTGATGCAGTTACGACACAAATAATTTAGGTTCTACATCTTCTTCTTATAAATGTGGTCAGCGCGAAAGATATTTCGTTTTGAGTCTCATGAAATTTTGGATTTGTTTCATGTCTACCTTTGTATGGGATACAGGCTCGCTTGCTCGTGCGACTTTCCACAAACGTCTCGAGGGAGTACTGCCAAAAGGAACAACACGCGTGCGATATTAGAATAAACGACCTGAAGCAATGCACCATGCAACTCCATGCAGTCATGATATCGCTCTGAGAAGCAGCAATTATTTTTATTGCTAATGACCAGGTGGACTTCAAGCCACAATTTGAAATCGAAAACCATTTTAACTTACTGTGGTCGACGACCAAAATGAGAGTCGATTTTTTTCCAGCGAAGTTCATGGTAAGCTGATTCATTTCCGACAAGAAATTCAATACCCAAAACTCAAATGGACATTTGACAATGAACGAAGGCCTACAACTGGAGAACCGAAACAAAACCGATTATCTCCCGTCTAAGAAATATGGACACCTGAAAGAATGTTTCACACTCTCTATCACTGCAACCCCTTACACCACTCAAACGTTTCTTGTAAGTTTCTGTAAACCAACTGAATACTTACTTTAGCTGCGGCCGAATACTCTATCTCCTGAACTTCCAGCTCCCTGGCAGCCCCGCTGCCGTAGCAACATCGATGTGACGTCATATCCACCAAGCATCCTTTGGCCTCCTCGTGAGAAATCGTCAAGTTCCCACTGATGTTTTAAGAAAGTATTGTTGGTCTTCTCAAAAATTGTCTTGAAAATTGTCTTCAAACTACTTTCAAAGCATTTCGGGAAAAAAGGAACGAAGTCAAACACGATTCGACCCTTTGCACCATTTTCAATGATGTTGATTTCAATGTGCTTAGGAAATTCGGGATGGTAAATTCTACTTTCGAGTTATTTTTCTATGTTATGTTCTGAGTCTTTAAAACCACAGAGTTAATTTTACTCCATTTGAGGAAAAAATTCACATCTTCGGACAGAAAATGGCGAGGATACATCGATCTGAGTGAAATTGGCCCACCTCAGTGGACTGAGATTTCACTTTAGTTGCTAGCGGAAGTATTTTTTGTTTTTCAAGCTATTTCAACGTAAACAGTCCGGTCCGTCATTCAGTCTTTGGAAATTGGAGACAATTCTCTCCAAAATGCGAAGCCTCGTTATTTTGACAAAGGACGCGAAAAGACCATGAAAAGCAACAGCTTAACTATGTTTTGATCTGTGATTTGGATTTTTAACTAAAATTAGCTTTCATTCCCAAAGTGTCGACGTACATGAACTTCGCACTCACAAAACGAAACCGTGGAAGAGAAATCTATTTAAGAGTCTTGAGTAACTGCTTTTTTCCCCTCAATCTTCGAATAGGCCTACATTATTGGTACTCCTCCTTCTCTTAGAAATTGCCAAAATTATCTCTTCATTATTTGAATTGCACTTTGTAATATTGACACATTTATCCACATCTTACATCTTTCCAGGATTTTGCCAATCGTAATGACACAAATATACGATTGTACTCACGATTTGAATTCACGTCTGTCATTGTGTGGTATTTGCAATTTCGGTCTCTCTGCAGGCTTACCTGAGTGAACAGTGCGGACAAATAGAAAACTGAGTCAGTGTAAATATTTGAAAAAGCATCATTCCTTTTCGAGGGAATGATCTAAATATGATTCGTTAAGTAAACCAAGAAACAAAACTTTTAAACAAAAGACACACCCCGGACTCAGTTTTGTTCGTATAAACATCTTTAATGTGTTATGATTGATGTCAATCAAAATTCTTCCATGGCATCAAAAGAGATGTTGGGTTGATCAGTATTACAAAATCCACGCAGTGACCCCATATGGTGTTTACCTGTGTATTTATATCGTTATAAACCTGTCACTGATAAATAGGATGACATCAATATATTAAATAATACCATGACAGAGTGGCATAAGTAGTCGTGGCCGAGCGGTTAAGGCGACAGACTAGAAATCTGTTGGGGTCTCCCCGCGCAGGTTCGAATCCTGCCGACTACGGAATGTCATCCATTATGCTGGATTCTCTCTTCGTTTTAGTGACATCAGAATTTGTCAAAACAATTTTGTTATACTCGGTATTCGAGTCTGCACTTTCGTAAAAAAGTTAGATATGGTAATTGATTCTCCCGAAGTTGTTTTTTTTAACTATTTTATTTTAAGGTGTTATCAAAACCCAACAACTTGTTATCCGATCGTCAAGTTATAAGCTATATAAACGTATTCGTCACAATAAAAATGCATATCTTCTCAAATACAAGATGCCTGAATACAATTACTGCACCCATTATAAAATATTCATACATGCAGGATAATGCTGTTCATAAATCTGTATAATTACCCTCATAAAGAGCTGAAACATCAGTTTCATGAAAGGTGCAAAGGTTAACAGACTGATGATGAAACAGGCGAAATATAAAGTACCAGGACTGGAACTGATTCCAATCGGCAAAAATACAATCACAAGTTCAGAGTACAGCAGCCGACGTTTGGAAGCTGAACACAATATGCATTAACTTGTCAACACAGAAACATAGATGCAAAACAGTAAGCACAAAGGTATCCAAACAGCGACGAAAGACAAGCGTGTAAACATTTAGTTTTAAGCATTCTGAAACAGCGGAAAGCCTGCTGAAGTTACAATTAGGCTAACTGCTGATATTATGCATGCAAGTCATACAGCAATTAGGATAGTACTGGTTAGTAGATGGATTTATGTTTAAGCTAACACAGAACACTCTGGAACCATTGCAGCTCCTCCGAGGAATAAAGATGACAACACCTTTGATGACAACCCCAACATACATATTACTAAAAGAACCTTTGTTTGTTTGGTTTTCTTCTCTTTTTTGTGGAAAGGTAAATGCTTTTGTAAATAGGAACGACTTTTGGTGGGAAAACGCATTAATTTGGCACGCCAAATGCCCCCCCGCTACACACTATGAAAATAGCACACTTCAAATTTTGCAAGGTACATCACCGATAGCACCCACCAATAATGCTGAATAAAAAGAATTATTAATCAGGCCTGAGTTATTTTGCTTTATTTCAGTACTTGCATTGCACAGCGTAATTGGTAAATAATAGAAAACAAAAGAATGTTATTTGGCACAGCACGGAGTTAATATAAGCAAGACCATTTCCTCCCCGACAGTAAAGCTTGCGCCTTCTTGAAGTTTCAGATGGTTATTTGGATGGGGTATTCTGTTGACCAGTCTCATTATGGACCCCAGATTTCTTACAATAATTACACCGAACATAATTATATTAGGGGTTCTTCCGACCTTGAACACTTCATTTAATATGCTTCTGACTCGTTTTATCTTAAATTGTTCATGTCATTTCTTCAAACGTTATCGGTTTGCACAAATGTGATCTTTATATACACGGTTCTTTTTTTCGATCAATTATTTCCTTTTTAACCCCTCCCTAAATTACTGTGCCTGAAGTGTAGGAGTGTAGGAGGTTTTCACTAAATTCCACTTTCATCCCATTTTAGTGAAAATCTGTTCCCTCCGATTGAAACTATAGGAACAGGAAGAATTCGAGTGAAATATCCTCACTCCAATATAGATCGAGGTTTCGCTAAAAGTGTTTTTTCAAACTACAAATTAAAAACTGAAGTACTGAATCTACCTATATGTGTTTAATCCAACATTTTAGATATTAAATTCAACAATTTTAATGTTGATTAAATAGTTTTCCTTGAAATTGTACATTTCATTGTATTTCAGTCTAAATTCAGAGTAATTTCCACTCTAAACATGTCATATTTTAATCTGTGGAAATAAGAGAGTTATTTGCACCAAAAAATCACCACCTGAGAGTTCAAAGTGCCACCACAGTGAGACATAGTTTAACAGCCGAGGAAGCGCAGATGTGGAGTGGGATAGAAGAGGGTGGTGAGTGGAAAGAAGAAAACAGCCAAGGGAAACACCACCATTTCATGTTGTCATTTCATAGGGGCCGTTCTCCTCTCCTTTTTGAGAATGTGGATGCATCGTCTGATTTGCCCTTCTCCTAACTTACTTTCCTTGGTGCTGGTCCTCTCGTGGCCCGGGATGGTCGGTAACGCATGCGCCATCTTGTACACTGGTTCCCGCACCTTTTCGTTGTCCTCCACGTCCGTATCTGGGGCGTCTGGCCAGTGATAAGTCGGTGTGTCCGTCTCTCCGGGCGGTGCTCTCCATGCTATGGTAATAAAAAAAAAAAGAGAGCGTAAATGGATATTTTAACTTTACGGTTGAATCTGAAAAAGGAGTTGCTCAGAATATGTTTCCTAAAACTAATACAATTAAAAGGAAATGACCATAACCAATGAATAGTCCTGGGAATAATATAGTGACACCGACGTACATGTATTTTAACAAGACTTCGTTCAACGCTGAGTATACGCTGCTTAAAAATGCCTCAGTTAAAACAACCTGTGTAAAAACTAACCATCTTCTACGCAATGAAGCTTATCTTACAAACGGTGACACTTGTAGATCTGGTTTATTTATTTTTAGGCCATGTGCTTCTTTTCTCCTGGCTTGTATTAGAGAGCAAGTATTGAAATGAAACAGTGATATTTGCAATTGGATAAAGCTACCCACACACCAAAGAGCTACCGAATACGCAGATATCTTGCTGTAACTCACGTATCGATTGGTCCATCCCTGCTCCCCTCAGTCCACCTGACGCAAGGAGTGTATTGTGCTCAACATCGTTGTAAGGGGGCGGGGCTTGCGACTGAGACTGCTGAGATAAAGGAGGAAGTCGAACACTTTGCCCATAGCTGGATCTCTGTCTAGATGCGATACCTAAGAAAAGTTCAGTTTGTTATAATAGATTCTCTTTGTTTGATTGGTTACCAGAGATAAGAGTACCAATAAGCCAGAGCAAAGAATTATGCGATGTATAATCTATGGGTTATTTATATAACCTCAGCTTTCAATTTTGACGTTGGTAACTACGTTTTTACGGGACTGTGATAAATCAGTGATTAGGTCTCTATAGCTGACCTGTACTATCAAAAATTACTTCCAAAATATGAATGACAACACACGCACGGTAATACAATAATTTCTAATATTATTAAAGAATTTCAAATTAACCTGAGTCAGTAGTTCGGTAAGCGCAAATCAAATTGGGCGAATCGGGGACAACAAAATTTCTGTTTTAGCAATTTACAATTTTCGAATCACATATCGTATTCTTCAGATGAAAAATGTATGTCTTTAAAAGAAGCAAGCCACTCAACAAACTACGAGCCTGATGTTGATGGGCTTGCCATTCCGACCATCATCCTGATTTTATCTCCTTACAGACAACTTCTCTGGTCAAAATTCAACACTGACTCAGCACAAAATAATATACCTGACGATTCCACTGGCGGAAGGGATTGTGACGGCCCAGTCAGTCCCGTGAGTTCCGCCATCTTGATGATCTCGTTTGGGTTTTTCCTCCCTTACGGTCTAGTGCAACAAGAGCCAAAAGAGCGGAGCAGTCTTCTCCTACGGGAAGGCTGTGGTTACTTCACTAACGACTGGTCCAGTTTAATGTTTAGCACATTGCGGAAGTCCACCCTTGTTTTTACGCCCGCTGAATAATTAATTAATACAGGTGACAATAACGCATCCAGTGCATCGCTGGGGCCATGTTTGGACTATGCCCGAACGGTTTGCTTGTTATAAAGCTCTCCATGACAACGGTGGTATGTTGTCACACGATCGCTGAATCATCGACAAAAGGTTATTCATTAATAATAATAAAAAAAACCTGGGCTGTGTGTTTCATTATTCCGGATGGATTGGTCGACTTTGGCATTCACAGAGCATTGCATGCTCTAATGACTTTCTACGCCAAAAGGACTGTTGGAAAGTTCAAGCGCTTGAACTACAGTTGGTAAGGAGCGCATCAACAAAGATGTTTGTGGCAACAAAAACCTGAAAAAAGGTTTGAGCTATTAAAACGTGATACTTATGCGCATCCATACCCGTGTGGCGGGTAAATTCCTTGTGCAAAGTACTTTACTCCAGAGAGATGTGGAAATTAATTTTGCTTTGGCTCAAAGGTTTCAAAGTATCAGAGAATTTAAAGCTCATCGATTTAGATTTTGACTTTTTATGAATATGTTATTGACAGAAAGTAGACCCACCTGCATCTGAAATGTTTTTATTCGTTAAACATCCCAAGAACTTACAGTTGAACGGGACCTTCCATTGTGTCTTAAAGGGTATAGCTGCAATATACATTTTTAATACAAACCTTTAAAATGCACCTTCAAAGTAATCCTTTTCAAAGGATTACTTTACTGCCTTTTTGGTTTTTATGCTTATGGGTATTTCCATATTCATGAGAAAAACTGTAATGCCATTCCAGGAAGAGAGAATCAATGTTACATTGGTTTGTACATAAAAAAGTGTTGCTTTTTTGTCTGGACTAAACTTTCTGTTCTCATTTTTGTTCATTTTCATAGCAATAAGCAAGCATCCTTTCCCTTTCTCAGAAATGTTTTCAGTAAGTAAATTCTGGGTTCACCATTTGAACAGAAAAACATGTGCCCTGAACTTTTTCTCCCTTGGATGACATCTCAGCAACAGCGTCTTCAGTTTTGCAGGAAAGCACAGATAATTTTAAAAGTTATAAAAGTGCAGCTTCAACGCATTTAACCAAATAGGAATGCAAACGAGTCTCTATACAACAAGAAGAGCACAGAGACTGAATACAGGGAAGCTTGGTATTGAAGTCTGCATGCCCATTACTCAAATTTTCTGACGTCGGCAATATCTTTGAAAACGGACGAAAGGAATGTCACTGGTATAATTATTCTGCATGTCCAATAGTAATTCAACTACGGCGGGTGGGGGGGGGACTTGAACCCACCCCTTTGAAATTTACGCAACCTGCGTAGAAGCCGCGGACCATTTGCTTTCAGTACCCCTTGAGAAAATGTGTATATCCCCGTGTGCCCACTTAGAAATTTAACCCCTGTTACGCCATGGTCTTTTAGGAACAATCCACCGTTGGCCAAGTTCAGATCTCCAACGGTTCTTACCCCCAAACCGTTCAAGATGATTTCTCTCTCCGCCCTCAAATCACCGGTCGTCCCTCTCCAGTTGCCTAATCTCGAACCGCTCCCTCGGGATACCCACGCAATCGAGATCATACTGCAGACTTCTCTTCAAACGACAGCAGATTAGTCACTGTAAGATGTTTTCCAAATAAAAGTAATAGAAAGACCTAAATTTAATATTACACCTCAAAGCTCATATGATTCTGAAGGTCATTTACAAATAAAAATCTCTCGCCAGCATAGCTTTTGTTATTCACTAGGTTTTGCAAGCAGGTTATAGATTTTTAAAGACACCAACTTGAGGTCGTCCCAGAGAAGGTAAAAGCAGACGCACAATTAGATCTAGAAGCATGTGTTTCTTACCAACGAACCTTGAAAATTTCTAATTCCCATCGCGTTGCAATTGTTTGGTGGTACTTCCAAGTTTTTTTTTCTGATGTATATTAATTGCTGCATGGGACACTATAGATTGCATTCAACTGCACCATCATCATGAACTAACTTGGATGATCTTTATTGACTGCTTGACTGTAATTTGACCCCATAACCTACGACACAGCCAGGCATCTCGCTAAAATACTTCACCCCTGGGTGGGCAACACCGAACATCTTATCAAGAACTCTGACCAGTTTGCCAACCTCAGCCAACTAGCCAAGGCCTCATTCTCCAGCCAGACTACATCATGGTCAACTTTAATGTTGTCTCCTTCTTTACGAATGTCCCCACCTCCGATGCCACTACCATCGCCAAGGACAGACTTCAAGCAGCTCCCATCCTCATTCCAGACCAGCTTCATGACCTGCCCCTCACTTACGTCAACTCATCTAGCCAGTGGCGTAGCTAGGATTTCATGGGGGGGGGCCACAAAGGGACATCAGCATCTTGGGGGAGGGGCACCAGCTTTCAGTGGTGTGTTTTGGGAGCAAGTTTTTGTGAACCTTGTTCAATATCCATTCCTCCGTTTTTTTCTTTTCGGGGGTCGGGGCACCTGGGAGGGCACCGAGAATTTGGGGGAGGGGACGTACCCCCAGGCTCCTCCTTTGCTACGCCACTGGCGGGAAAATTTCTATTAACAATCGACTGGTAGATAACAGTAGACAGCCTTTATGCAGGCTGTAATAATTTTCTGATGTGCGTTGATTATTATTAATACTTTAAGGATTTGACAAGCCCTGCATCTGCATCAGAGCCAGAGCCATTATACATCTACAGCTGCACCAGCGCCAGTACTCCTGAACTGGGGATCTGCCAGTGGTGCGCGATAGCGCCCTCTATCATACAATAGTTTGATAAACGTCGTTACTTGGGATATTTGAGCAGCTGTTCTGCATTTTGCTGGAAGTTGTTCTGCATAGCGCCAGCGGCGCTACAGTGTCTTTGGTCTTAACCTCTTCACCACACAGGGCAGCAAGGATCGTTTGTGTTGAATTTGAAGGATTTGTAAGTTCTCCAGTTGTTGCTTGCTGCAAAAAGAAAGTTTTAAGCTGCATTATTTTGATTGTACTGTAGAGTGTAGGTCTTTTTGTTGTAGGCTAGCCCCACTAGTGTTGGAATTGCACGGACTCCGTGATAAGGTCGTTGAAAATTACGTCACTTGACCCCTCATTGTCTCGACGGCTGTTCCTTGCCTTGTCAAGACATCTAAACTGCTGCCAAAGTTTTGGAAGAGCCCATTGGTACATGTACATGTAGTATCTTATCGCTCAGTCCGTGTATTAGATATGTCTTGACATGAAACAGTCGTCGAGACAATGAGGGGTCAAGTGACGTACATGTATGTCCAATGACCTTATCACGGATCAGCGGGAGTGAGAGTCCGTGCAACACTAGTGGGGCTAGCCTGGGGTGACTGTGAGAGCGAGCCCGTGAGATTGAATGGGTGACGGCAAAAAGACTGGAAAATACCAGAACAACGCGAGTGAAATCATTCAATGAATGGCGCTAAGAAAGCGGAGAGGCTAAGGATCATCTCTGTGTGCAAAAGAAATTGCGCCCACGATGATAAGTGAGTGTGCCAAAAATGTTCAGTATGCCGACACGAAATTGCGTATATGGATGTGTGGCTAACGACGGAGCGGGAGTGAGAGTCCGTGCCAGTGGGGCTAGTTATGGCTAGCTCCATCAGCAGGAGTGAGAGTCCGTGCCAGTGGGGCTATTTATAGGCTAGCTCCATCAGCAGGAGTGAGAGTCCGTGCCAGTGGGGCTAGTTATAGGCTAGCTCCATCAGCAGGAGTGAGAGTCCGTGCCACACTAGTGGGGCTAGTTGTAAGCTAGGCCTGCATCATCATTCATTCGTGATGTACAGACCCATATGCTGATTGTAGTTTGTACCGTAGGACTATGCCATTACGAATCGCCTCGGACATGGTCTGCATATCGCCAATCCATCCTAACATGCCTGACCATGTCCAACTTAAACGACTAAAGGGGCAATTCGTAGAGTCCTTACTATTGCTAGGACTAGCGTCCATGAACAATAGCTAATGCTATTACTACCTACTAGTACTAGCCAGGTCTCTAATTTCGCCACTTAGGCTACTGTGAAAACCAATTGGACTTGACATTTTGATAATATAATTATACGTGGTGAAATGAGGTACCTGGCAACTACGCGGTCACAGATGTTTGGCTGAGAGTAGCTCTACTAAGTGGAGCATTAGTATTTCTCTTTTTTGAATTTGGACGGGATCGTCATGCTAACGCTCCACGCCTGTACATATAGTAAGGTTGAAACGGTTCTCAAAAATCCAAAGACCCACCGAAATACCTCTTTCACCACCTACTGGCTTCTTTAAATGCAAACGTCAAACGGTTGGGGCTTCAATGGTATTTCCGACTTCAAAATCTGTCAAAATCTGACTGTTTTCACTCAAAACACACACAGTACTTGAACTTTTCGCCACCTGTACCTTTCAAATGAGTGTAGCAAGATTTAGAATATACAATAACTCTGTGGGCGAAACATGGTCCTCCCAGAAACACATGAGTGGCCTATACATGGTCTGGGCACAAGACTTGTTGATTGTGACGGTTGGGAGTACGACCAACAACTGTTTCCTGGTCAATACGTCTGGTGCCCCGACTACATTTGGGCCTCTCCTGCGGTTTCATTAGAGGACCACGTTTGCCCATAGAAGAAAGCTGAATTGATCTATGCAGTTGCTACACTGCTTGTAGGAAATCTCCACTTTTCTTCCCCTTTTAAATCAAGCTTTTTCAGGGAATGAATTAGAAAAAAAAGATGATCCTCATATAAATTGTGGCACTGCCATTACTGCGGTTGATGGATGGCAGAGTGATTGGCTGCCATTTCTTTTGTCTTTTTTTCAGAATCATGACCGACTCTGTGAAGTTGATTCTTGGCGACGTCTGCTGTGGGATGCGAGACGCCGTTCTGGGGGCGCTCTTCATCTTCCGCGTCGATGCAGAGATAAATGCACTCGCCGAGGAGAGACGAAGGAAGAGAGAGGAGAAGATGAGGGAATCGCAGCGGAGACCGATTCCCCTCAAAGAGAAAAAAGAAAGGTGTCGTACTTTTTAAGTCATCTTTGAATTTCATCTCTCAGCCTGCGAGACAAAGTCACCTGGGATTGAGACATTAACTGATCTGAGTTTGATGAACTCTCGGTTTGGTTTCAGGTGTTAACTAGCGATAGAGCTGTGTGACCTTTTAACCAGGGAAGTAGCATGCCGCACACTGGATCACATCTTCAAAATTCACATTTAGTCCAAAGGTGTGGAATTGACACCTGGAGCAATAAATAAGAACAGCCACATTTTTTGGAGAGGGTTGTCTAGGTATGTTTTGAACCTACTGTAGACTCTTTTGGGCTTCTTATTTTTTATGTGCAAAGTGTGCAGGAATACATAGGCATCGGGCTTACTGAATGTCTTCATTCGAAGGCAAATTTTGACATTCTGTTTTCAATAAGCCAGTTTGGTATTTCAAAAGAGCAAGGTCATTCGAGAACAAAACAAGGGCAAGTTCGCTAACAGGGCAGACCTAATGTCCTTGCACGCATGTCCCAAAGACGTTAAGACGCACTTCATTTCGGAAGTGCACTGTTGGAATACTGAACTGGTTCATTGCCACTTTGGTCAAAATATTTTCAAATCAGACCCCCTACCATCAGTTTTCCAGTCAGGTGATAACATATAACTCGGCGTGCATCATGCTTTATTGATTTTGACAGTGAGCCCAAAGTGATGCATCGCATGTTGCAATGTTGTCTGCTAAACGGCGGCGTATTCTGGTTGAGCATTGTTACATTTAACAATCTAGTACTACCGGCATTACAGTTTGTCACGCAGAAGATTATAGGTGAGTGGTGTCTCCCTGGAATGTAGTTACTCGCAAGTCTAGATCACGACTTATGCAACAGGTTTTGAAGTATGTTACTGGGAATTAGCATTGGTAAATATGTCTTTTTCATAGTCAGTTTTCAGAGCTAGTGACTCCTCCCTAAAACCAAATGGTTTGTAATCGACCAGTGACTGAGGACTTGGGACTTTGATGGAGGACTTGTGATGATAAGTGATTGAGATCTTATGGGAATTCCAAAGATATGTAATACAGAACTGCTGCAAACTGCTTGCTGACTACAATGACCTAGAATACTGATTTCCAAATATGACGGGCCTGACATTTCGATCCTAGCAGAGTCTTTGAGAAAGATTCTGCTAGGATCGAAACGTCAGGCCCTCCATATTTTGAGATCATATTGAGATATATTTTGAGATCTTTAAAGACATGACACGCGCTTACGAGGATTCGTGAGTGAGGACTTATGAAGATGTGATTGGAAGTTATAAGGACTTCTGATTGAAGACTTATGAAGACATGGTTTGGATTTAATGAGGACTTGTGATTGAGAGTATTGTCTCAGTTACTGCTTTGTTTCTGACCTCAGCCTTTGTTACACGTTGTTCCTCAGCACAGCAGTAGAGAAATGATGCTTTGTATTTCATTATTTACCAGGTATATCAGGTCAGTCGATTTCCAACAGTACAGTATGGGCGTGGGTTGGGCCAATGATGTCCTACACATTCAGCGCACTCTGGGTTCTACCGCTTTTTGTCCTGAGCAAAGCCGTCAGCGGTCTATGGTTCCAGGTCAGTTTTTCTGGCTTCTAAACACTGCTAAAAGAGAAAAAAGCCAAACCACATGGCAGAGCATGTGACTTTAAAAGGTGCTTTTTCTTCTTTGTGATAGTTTTTGTTTGGAATGTTCCCGAATCCTCTAAAATCCTTGACTGTGCAAGAACTCATGGGCACATTATGTATTACTTAGACTTTCGTGGAGAATTCAGTCCAATAAAAACTAACCTTGGCTAGGATTCACCTTCTTTTCACAGTCCTGATTGACTGCCCTCCGTCAGCACAAACAATGCTACACATAGTGTACTCCTCAAATTTTCAAAGTTTAATCAGAATATTTGGCATGCCCATTGACTGTTAATGTGCACAGCTTATACAGGTACCTCTTTTTTTATATTTGAAATGGAACTTGGTAAGGTTTTGTTTTATTTCACTTTTGTCCAGGATATAGCCGACGCTGCATATCGCAAGTCACGTGGCCGTCCCCAGCTCCCTAATCTGAGTGAACTGATAGCAGATTTGCTGTTCAGTCTTCTTATACAAGCTCTCTTTCTCATGCAGGTAGGACTGGCTTTGGATGCCCTGTTACTGTGAATCGACATTTTGAACAAAAGCAGTGACGGTTTTAATTAATCACTTCATGATTAACAGTAAAGAAGTATTATTGTCAACAGGTCTTTGACGAAGGC